GGAGAAAGAAGTCCAAAAGTCTTCTGTCCCCTGCGGAACCCCGCGTACCCCTGCTGGCATGGGAGCCAAGGGCTGTGGGCAGCCTGGCGTGTGAATGTCCTGGTGGTGGACAGGGTCCATTTGGCCTGTGCACTCCACACGTGGCCGTTTGGGAGACCCTCATTGTGGTCGGGGCTCCCTGGCGCAGGCCCGAGGTCCCCTCTGCCCTACCCCTTCCCACACCCATATTCCTGCCTGGTGGGGACAATTTAGTTTTTATGGAATGGGGGCTTGGCGGGGCACTGCGCATGGGGTGTGCCAGTGACCCGCCAAGTCCCCAAGTCTCAGGGAGTCTGCAGAGCACCTGGGGGGCAATGCTCAGAAAGAACTCTGGTTCACCTGCACCTGGGCGCCCTTGCCTAGGGCAGGGGTTTGGGAGGGAGGGCCCAGGGGGATGGGCAGGTGGCTGAGAAGCACCCCCAAAAGCAGGGAAGCCCGGGGGGGGTCCTCACCTGACCTCCCAGCCCTCTTCCAAGTGTTCCCCCAGGGCTGGGAAGGGAAGAGGGTGTCAGAGCAGCCACCTTGGGGTAACCCTGTTAGAGGTGCACATCCAAGCAGCAGCCACCAGCACCCAGACACATGGCCGTGCCACCCCCACCCCTCACTCCATCCTCCCGCTCTGGGGCCCCCTTTCCGGGCATTGTCCCTGGCAGGGCCTCTGGGGAGCGATGGCCTAGGAGTCCCTGGCAGCCTGACCCTTAGGTGCTTCCTAAAGCTGGGGTGGCCCTTGTGTCCCCCCAGCAATCCCAGCTCCCACCATGCTCCGGGCCCTGGCCTGGTCCCTCCCTCTACTCTGCCCCTACCATTGAAGGGCAGTCGGTGTGGTTTCCCTAGGGGGGTGGCTGGGGGTGTGGGGGATGGGGAGCCCGTTGTGAGCAGGGGTCTCTTGGGCAGCTGTCCAGAGCGTGGGTGACAGCCCTGGAGGTGGGGTGGGGCTGACTCAGTTACTGGGGAGTGAGCTGAAGGACCCCTCGAGTGGCCGCAGGTGTGGGGAGCTAGGTGCTGTTTGAGCACCAGAAGGCGGCAGTGAAGGGTTTGGGGGTTCAGCCTGTCGCTAGGGGCTGGGCAAAGAGGAGGTGGTCCAGGCCTGCCATGGCCCCTTGGTTGGAGAGGAGAGTGGCTGGGGCCTGGAGGCCCTCCCCACCTGTGCTCCCCACCCCTGCTCCGCTCAGACCCCGCAGCTGCACCTCCCTCCCTCCCTGGGCCCTTAGCGCTCAGCCTTGGTATCCCCTGCCCTCGTCGCACACAGCTGGAAAGGGCAAGTGGCCTGGTGAGGGGGGCTCCTGAGACCCCATGACCCCCTCTCTATTGCTGGATGTTGGCACCCCTAACACTGGGGGTCCCCTCTTTGTCCAGGGAACGTCCCACTGTCCAGGCGGCTCCTCTGGGCCACGGTGCTGGAGGAACTGGGGGCTGAGCGGGGCAGGTGGCTGGGCCGGGCAGTTTGAGGAGAGGAGCTGGGCCGGGGGGCGGGGCGCGGCTGGGCCTCCCAAGCCCCCAGACCCCTTGTGGCCCTGACCCTGGTTAGGCCTGGGCCCTGGGCTCACCTTGGACAGTCGGGCAGGGCAAACTCGGGGCACCCAGGCCTGGTGGGCGAAGTGCGATGACAAGGACTCCAAGTTCTGTGTCAGTTGCCCCTGCCCCTTGATGGCCTCTGGCTGGAGCCAGGGAGGCTGCCCTGAGGAGACCCAGGAGGGGCCCGCGCTGCCCCTGCCCTGGGGCTGCCCTCCTGGCGCCAGGCAACGTGGGGCAGGCTGTTGAGCCTCTGCCTCGTGGGCCGGGCTGGGGGTGCCCACGCTCCATGTGCTTTTCCTCCTCTCGCCCCCAACGGTGCCCCCCCCCGGTGACCACGGTCCGAACAGGTATCCGTGTGCTGAGTTTGCGTGCGAGCGGGTGGCAGGGCACCGCCATGGTCCGGATCTCCTGCTCCCCAGCCACCCCAGGAGCAGCAGGCGGGATTCCCCACCCCCGCCCGGCCCTGCTGACGTTGCTGATCCGGCCTGAGCTGCCCTGATCCCTCATCCACGCCAGTCCCAGGAGGCGTCAGAGCACCTGTCGGAGGGCCAGGGGTCTCCTGGGGCCCACCACCCTGGAGGCCGGGGAGGGCGGAGAACCCCGAGGCCGCACAGCCCCAGAACCCATAGCCTCAGCAGCGCAGCGGGAGGGAAGTGATCCCGGCCCCCACCATGGAGGGCCAGCCTGTGGCCCTGAGCCTGGCGGAGAAGGCCGTGTGCAAGGTGGTGTACGGCGCCCCCCGCCCCCGCCCGCTGCTGCTGCCCGTGGGCCTGGAGCTGTGGCTGTACGTGCAGAAGATGCGCAACCTGCGGAGGAAGAGGTGCGGCGGGCAGCCGGCGGGGCTGGCGGGGGCGGGGGGCCCGCTGGAGGGTGTCTAGAGATAAGTGGGGGGTGGGGGCTTCTGGCTTGGACACCCCACCTGGTGGCTCTTCAAGTGGCCCCCACCTTGCCAGGGCTCAAATTGGGTCCCCCGGTTACAGGGTCAGCATGGCCATGCTGGACGTGCCTTGGTGCACTTCGGGCCCCTTTGCTTGGAGCCACACGTGCCCTGTCTCCGGGCCCAGAGGGAGGTGGGCGGCGGCCCTCCTGACCAGTCTGCAGCTGGCGTGTTCGCAGCTCCGCCTGCACCCAGGTTTCAGACCCAGAGTCCTGTCTGCTCCGCACTGGCCTGGAAGGAGGGGGCAGTGGGCCGTGTCAGACCGCTTGGCAAACGGCTGTGCAGGGACAAACGGCCTTAATTAAGAAGCCCTGTGCATGGCACCGGCTGCAGGAGTGGGGCTCTTGGCTGGTTGCCATGGTGACCGGGGGATCCTGCCACCAGTGTGGCATCCAGATGGCCCTTCCTGGAGGGCTCGGCCAGGTGGCTGCTAAGGAGCCTGGCAGGTCGTGGGTGGGCGGCACAAAGGTCTGGTCTCCTGGTCTTGGGGCTGTGTCCCTGACCTTCAGCTCTCTGAGAGGTCACGTGGGCTTTGTCGATCTCTGGGGAGGCAGCCAGGTGGTGGGATTCCTGAGCCCTGCCTGGCATCCCCCAGGGAGGCAAGGAGCCCGCTCCCCAGGCAGTAACCCCAATGCCCGTGTGAGAGTTTAGCTTTTCTTGGTCTCCCTGTATACGCTGAGCTGTGGCTGTGGCCCTGTTTTACAACATCTGGCTGGGGTCCAGGAGGGGGCCCCCCAGTCTCCTGCTAGCCTCCCTATGGCAGGCAGACTGGGTGGGAACCCCTGGCCTAGGACTGGGGGCAGGCGCAGAGTTCAGGGCTGCTCCGAGGCTCCTGACCTGGGAGGGTCTCAGACGGGTGGAGTCGGCGGGAGAAAACGGAGGGGCCCTAAGAGTGGGGGTGGCACGGCCGGCATGGAGCTCATCCAGTGTCGAGGGGCCAGGCAGTTTCGGGCATTGGGCACTGTGGCCTGGGGGCAGCCAGGGTCTCCCCAGCGGAAGGCTCTGAGCCGGTGGGGCGCCAGGCGCCCAGGCCAGCTTCTCAGCGGGGACTCGTCCCGCCCCCGGCTGTTCCCATGCGCCATTATCTTGGGAAAGTTGAAAGTGGCCGTTTTCTTGATGAGGCGGGAGTCCAGTGATGGGCACTGGGTTCCTGTCAAGGGGCATTTGGTTGAAACAGCGGAGAAACACTGCCCTCGACAACGCTTTCTTTTTTAAGGAAATATGTTGCTTTTTCTTCCACTCACTCCGGGTCCTCGCACAATTCCAAGATCACAGAGGAGGAGGGCTCAGCCCCTTGGGTGCCACAGGAGCTTTGCGTGTGGTCATTTCAAATTACGTTGTAGCTTTTCACAAACGGCTGGTCTTATCAGAAAGCAGAAAACAGGAGTGACGGGACCGCCTGGGCCAGGGCCGGCCCCTCTCCCAGGCCTCCGGGTCCCCAGGCTGGGGGCTGGGCGTGCGCCGCTCCGTGACAGGTCCTCTCTGGGCTCCTTCCTCCTGCCGCCTCCTGGGGCCACCCCTGCTGCCCCCGGCTGAGTCCCCTGTGCTGCTCACTCCACACCCTTGGCCACCCTGGAGATGGCACCCTGCTCACCCGTGGCATCCATGTGCTGTGCCGCCAATAGCAGCCCTTCCACCCCAGGCGGGGCAGTGGCTGGGGGCCCACACCACCGGTCAGAGCGGGATGGAGGAGGAGACCCACCCTCCCAGGGTGCAGCGTCCAGCCCAGGGCTCTGCAGCAGCCGAGGGAGTGACCTCTCCCCAACAGCCGTGTCCTGGGGTCAGATCCCACCTGCGTAGCCTCGACCAGCTCACCCTCCTCCCCGAGCCTCAGTTGTTCTCCGCGGGAATTGCAGGGCCAGCCCAGGTGGCCACAGCCACTCAGGAGGCCCCCTCGGCCCATGGGACTGGGGTTTTAGGGAGGCGGGGTGTGGAGACTGCTCCCACTCCCTGGAGCTCGGCCAAACCAAGCACGGGCCTCCGGGGCCTGGGGGTCTCACGGTGTCAGACTCAGGCTTTCCCTGGCGATGCCCCTGACCCTGGCCGTGGCAAGGGCCAGGCAGGGAGGTCTGGGCAGATGTCAGCTGCCCAGGTGTGCCAGCTGGGGAGCCTTTGGGTCCAGCACCTGTCTCCGGCCTGCATCCCAAAGAGATGCTTAGGTCTGCGAGCACAGGCGTGGCGCGGCGCCCAGTTCCCCCGAGGGGTGTCATACACAGTGACGCCGCAGAGGGGCTTGGGCCCCCAGGGGTGACCAGGCGAGGGTGGGCCGTGACACCCCTCCCTCTGCCCAGGATGGAGGCGTCGTGCCTGGAGCTGGCGCTGGAGGGCGAGCGTCTGTGCAAGGCTGGCGACTTCAAGGCGGGTGTGGCCTTCTTTGAGGCCGCGGTGCAGGTGGGCACCGAGGACCTGAAGACGCTGAGCGCCATCTATAGCCAGTTGGGCAACGCCTACTTCTACCTGAAGGAGTACGCCCGGGCGCTGGAGTTCCACAAGCACGACCTGCTGCTGGCCCGGTGAGCGGGGCTTGGCAGGGCCCCAAAGAGGGGGTCCTCACCTCCAACCCGCGCCCGGCTGTCCGGTTGGGGGCCGGGTGGACACTGCCCTGCCCTCAGGCAGGTGGGGGGGAGGGGCAGTTCCAATGCGAGGACCACAGCAGTTCTCAGGGTCCAAGGGAACCCGCGGGGCACCTCCAACCCGGACAGGGGCCGGGGACCCCAGAAGTCCCCCCAGGGGGCTGTGTTTAAGCTGGACACGTGTGAGGGGGTCTGAATGTCAGTCTGCGTGTGAGAGTGTGGGGTGCGGCCCAGCACTCTCTGTGTGGGCGCGTGTCTGTCCGTGCGAATCCATGTGCATGACCCTGCCTGTCTGCGTGACCCAGAGCCCCACCCAGAGGTCGGGCCTCTCTTGGCCTGGGGTCCAGGTGCACTCCTCACCTGTTCTGTAGCACGTGGTCCTGCCCTGGAGGCTCTCCGTGCCCTCGCCGGGAACCCCAAGCCCTAGCAGGCCTGTGGCCCCTTCCCGCGCCGTCGGCCCCTCCCTACGCTCTCTGTGCTGCCGCCAGGCCTGTGCCCAGGTGGAGCCAGCTGGGATGCCCCTGCACTCCCTGCCCGGCTCCTCCTCCTCCTCCAGGCCCCGCCTCCATGCCACGCCCCCACCAGCCCTGCCCCACTGGGCAGTGAGCCCCTTTGTGTCTCAGCTCCCCGCCCCCAGGCTCAGGCCAGGTCCCGAGGGCCCGTGTGTGGCTCACGGCCCCTCTGCAGCCTGCGTGGGGCTGACCCCCAGACCTGGCCCGGCAGAGGGACTGGTTCTGAGCTGGGCACCCTGCCCAGGGCTGCCCTCGGGACCGCGCTGCCCGGCTTACACCCTGCCCAGCATCAGCCCCCAGGGTGGGCCGCCTGCCCCCACCCGGCTCCCTGGGCCCCTCACTCCCTCCTTCACCCCAGGACCATCGGTGACCGCATGGGGGAGGCCAAGGCCAGCGGGAACTTGGGCAACACGCTCAAGGTGCTGGGCCGGTTCGACGAGGCTGTGGTCTGCTGCCAGCGGCACCTGGACATTGCGCAGGAGCAGGGGGACAAGGTGAGGGGTCGGTCCCCAGCTGCCTGCCCCTCCTCCCTTTCCCCGAGGCTCGTGTCCAGATCTGGGGTGTGCGCAGGCGGGCGACACAGCACGCGGCTCTCCCCCCACAGGAGGGAAGACGAGGAGGTCGGTCCTCCGGAGCCCGAGTGACTCGGGAGTCCTGGGCGCTCAGACCCGGGGGCACTTCCCCGTTCACGCTGACGCCAAAGGGCAGAGCCCAGCCCGTCTTCCACACTCAGCTCCGCGCCCCCTTGCTGGCCCCACCCCGAACCCGTCAGCACCCCAGTCCCTGCGTGTGGCCCGGGGGGGCGGCAGGTGGCTCTGGGGGGAGGTCCCAGGGGCAGGCAGAAGCCGTGGGAAGTGGCGGCAGCAGTCAGAGAAGGTGCAGGTCCCGCCCTGGGCTGGACCCTGGGTCGTCCTTCTGTGCCGACCTCCGCCGTAACCCTGTAAAACAAACATCCCTGTTCCCCGGTGCCAGTGGGGGAGCTGAGGCTAGAAGGGTGGTGTGACTTGCCCCGAGGCATCTGGTCCCGGGCTGGAGCTCTCACCCTGGGGCATAAGAGGACAGAGCTGAGGGCCTGGCCTCCTTGGCCACCCCGACTGGCGGAGGAGAGAGGGGTGGAGCGGGCTCCCCTGTGTCCCCGTCGTCAGGGCCTGCCCCTCCGAAGCGTCTGTGACTCAGTGATGGCCCAAAGTCCTTGCCACTGGGGCCCAGAACAGCAAGGGTGGTGGCCAGGTCACTGGCCCAAGCACATCCCACACCCCAGTGCCACCCGCAGGTCGGGGAGGCCCGGGCACTCTACAACATCGGCAACGTGTACCACGCCAAGGGCAAGCAGCTGTCCTGGAGCGCCGTGCAGGACCCCGGGCACCTGCCGCCCGACGTCCGAGAGACGCTGCGCAGGGCCTCCGAGTTCTACGAGTGAGTGGGGCGGCAGCAGCCGACGGGCTCCCCCAGGCCCACATCTCCCCGCAGCCCCCGGGACGGCCGACAGCCAGGCGGGCCCCTCCGGCAGCCACACCTGTCAGCGGCTGGTGGGGCCACAGCAAGCCCCGGTGCTGGAGTTGAGGGGACCCGTCCCATCCACCCTCCTTCTGGGCCTGCCACCCACCAGCACCATCTAGCGTGGGAGGGTGGAGACGTGGGCAGGGAGGGATGCGGCTCCTGGGCTCTCCCCGCAGGAGGAACCTGGCCCTGGTGAAGGAGCTGGGCGACAGGGCGGCGCAGGGCAGGGCGTACGGCAACCTGGGCAACGCGCACTACCTGCTGGGGAACTTCACGGAGGCCACGACCTTCCACAGGGAGGTGAGCCCGCCGCAGGGAGGCTGGACAGGCTGCCCACTTGCCTACCTGGCCTGGGGTGACCTGCCCCCGAGGCAGTCCTCCAGAGCAGGGTGGGGCGAGGTGGCTGGGTGGCAGGGGTGTCCCGTTGAGCCCTGGTTTCGTCTGCACTTGGTCCCGTGGCTGCGGCTGCTCCCCCTGGACGTACAGCCAGGGCCAGTGATCCGGGCAGGGCTGCGGCACCCGTCCGTGCTTGTCAGGACCAACCCGGTCTGCGGGTCTGTCTGCACAGCGCCTGGCCATTGCCAAGGAGTTTGGAGACAAGGCGGCCGAGAGGAGGGCCTACAGCAACCTGGGCAATGCCCACATCTTCCTGGGGCGCTTCGACGTGGCCGCGGAGTACTACAAGTAGGTCCCCACCCACCCAGTGAGGGGGAGGGCCGGGGGGAGGGGATGCCGGGCCAGGGAGCCACCCACCCCAAGGCAGGGGGTCGGGCAGCGTGTCCTCCCCAGGAGCCAGGTGGGGGCTTCTGGGCTGCCCCAGGAAGGGCAGGTGGACTGAGCTCCCAGGGTCCCCAACCTGTGCTGAGCTCTGGGCCATCTGCCTCCTGGCCTGGGTGGCAGACCAGTGGCCACCATGCGGGGCAGGCTTGTCAGCACTGGGTCCTGCACCCAGCCCCAAACAGCCCATCTCAGGGCCTGAGCAGTGGCCGTGGCTGTCCCCTGGCCCCTGTGGAGGAGCGGCGGCTCAGTGTGGTCAGGAGACTTGCCGGAGCCCAACGGGAGCCCGCATCAGTCTGGGTCCAGCAGGGTCTGATACTTCGTCCCTCCGAGGCCCCAGAGAGACCCCACTGGGACCCTGAGGCCGGGGACCAGTGGGCGGGCCTCCTCACCACTGGCCACCCTCCTCCCGGGGGCTGCCCCCGCTCTCTGTGCAGGAAGACACTGCAGCTGTCGCGGCAGCTCAGGGACCAGGCGGTGGAGGCGCAGGCCTGCTACAGCCTGGGCAACACCTACACGCTACTGCAGGACTACGAGCGCGCGGCCGAGTACCACCTGCGGCACCTGCTCATTGCCCAGGAGCTGGCTGACAGGTGCGTGGTGTGGACTCGGGGTGGGCGGCTGCGGCCGGCCCAGAGGGCTCTCAGCAGCCCCTGCCGGCCCACTGGGCTGAATTCCAGCAGCCAAGACGAGGGGGCCTGGGTCTGAGCCCCTGGCTCCACTGACCACGACGTGACCCTGGTGGGACGTCCCCAGGCCTCTGCCTCCCCACCCGTCAGTGGGTGACACCGCTGTGGGGACTAAGCCAGACAGTGTGGGCGCTGGGCTGGCCACTTCGGTTGCCCTTGGCCGGCCCGGCCCCCCTTCCCTTGCTTTTTTTTAGTTGGCTTTTTTTGGGGGGGGCCGGGGGGCCCCCGGGTTCTTGGCCCGGCCCCCCCGGTGGGGTTGGCGGGTTGCCACGGGAACAAAGGAGGCAGAGCCTGTGGCTCTCACGCTGGTGGAGGGAGGGTCTTCTAAAGCCTGCCCCGCCCCTGGAGGCCTGAGGTTGTCCTGGGAGTGACGGAAATGTTTTGGAACTAGACAGCGTGGTGGTCACACAACATGCCACTGCGCTGTCTGCTGGAAAGTGGCTACAGTTACGTTAGGTGCATTTCACGTCCATTTAGAAATAACCCGTGGAGGGGCTGGGGTTGGGCTGCCCCCAGGAGTGGAGTGAGCCCCGCCGGCCACCAGGGGGCGAGAGAGGCCAAGGGACGAGGGACGCAACGCGCCTGCAGGCAGAGCCGGCCACGGGACAGCCTGCGATCCCCACCCCTGGCCCCCACCCTGGCCATGGACCCATAGGGGTCGGCGGCCTGTTAGGAGCCAGGCCGCACAGCAGGGCGGGGAGCAAAGCTTCGTGTGTATTTGCAGCCGCCCCGCACCGCTCGCATCTCCACCTGAGCTCCGCCTCCTGGCAGATCAGGGGGCATCAGATTCTCTCAGGAGCGTGAACCCCACTGTCAGCTGTGCACACGAGGGGTCCAGGTTGCAGCTCCTTGTGAGCATCCGATGCCTGGTGACCTGAGGTGGAGCTGAGGTGGTGACGCTACCGCTGGGGAGCGGCTGCAAACACAGATCATCCTTAGCAGAGAGGTTTGCGCGATAAACGTGATGCGCTTGAATCATCCCCCACCCCCGGTCCGTGGAAGAACTGTCTTCCATGAAACCGGTCCCTGGTGCCAAAAAGGTTGGGGACCGCTGCGTTAATGCTTTTAACGGGAAAAGCCTCAGCTTATTGGGGCTTCTCCCTGAGGGTGGCAAGATCTGTGGGAGACCCTGGCTGGGGCGTGTCATCCTACCGTCCTACTGGTGCCTCTTGGGCCTGGGGGCCCCTGGTGAACCTCGGGGCCAGGCCACACAGCCTGTTCGTGTCACAGGTATGGCACCCAACGTCACGTCAGGGCCCTGACCACCGGGAGGCTGGGGGCTCGGCACGGGGCGGGCCCGGGGAGGGCGGGCGTGAACTGTCTCCCTCTCTGGCAGGGTGGGCGAGGGCCGGGCGTGCTGGAGCCTGGGGAACGCCTACGTGTCCATGGGCAGCCCGGCGCAGGCGCTGACCTTCGCCAGGAAGCACCTGCAGATCTCCCAGGAGGTGAGCCGGCTGCCCTCCCGCCCCAGACTGTGCCGAGTGCCGGATGGCCCTCCGTCCCTTCTGGGCTAGTGCAGCCCCTCGGCTGCCTGGCCCGTGAGGCCTGCTGGCCCCTGTCTGCCGCCCGCGGGGCCTTCCTGGGAAGCTGAGTGTCCTCCTGGTCGGAGAGGCAACGTGGGGTCTCCATGGGCCCTGTCCACCAAGACCCTCCTACTGTAGTGAGGGTGGGGACCTCACAGGTGAACCCTGGGCCCGCCTGGCTCCTGGCCTGTCCTTGTGTCACCTCCCTCCCACCCCACCTCTAGGAAGCAGCCCCAGGGCAGGGCCACCACCGCCTCCAGATACCCCGGGTCTGCCCATGCTGAAGGCGGGAGGCAGCTGGGTGGGTGAGGCCTGCAGGCGCCCAGGTGTAGGTGGGCAGGGCCAGGCTCGCTCAGATCAGCAGAGGCTGCCATCCGGAGAGCCCGTGCACCGGTGGCCTCTGAGGGCAGGCTGCGGCCCCCGCCGTCCTCCAGGGCCCCCTGCGGCGGCCCCACCGTGCCCCACTCTCTTCCACTTGACTTGAGTTTGTTCCTGGGCACACAGTCCTCCTGGAGGGTCTGACGTCAGGCCCAGAGCGCGAGGCTGGGGCTGAGGAAGGTGCAGCCGGGCAGGGCCAGGCCGACGCCCGCTGGAGGGCCCCACGCAGCACAGGGCCGGCTGCTCAGACTGAGCATTTCTGAGGTGGGACTAGGGCTGCTGGGGACACAGGGGCCACCTCACCCAGGGACAGAGCCCCAGACCTCACCTCCAGGGCCACAGTGAGTCCTGTTTCCCTCAGAGGCCCTGGGGTCAGTGGCTAGCCCAGGCCACCCAGCGGTCGGGGACCTGGCTGCCCCCTTGGGAGCCCCCAGCAGGCCCCCAGCCCCACTTGCCCACTCAGACGCCCCTGCTGGCCACAGATCGGGGACCGCAACGGGGAGCTCACGGCCCGCACGAACGTCGTACAGCTGCAGCTGGCACTCGGCCGGCTCACCAGCCCGGCGGCCGCAGAGAAGCCCGACCTGGCCGGCTACGAGGCCCAGGGTGAGTCCCAGGGCTGGGGGTGGAGGCAGCACGGTGCCGTATGGGCTCAAAACTCAGCCTGGGACAAAAGCAGCAGCATCGGGCAGGGGCGTGGCAGGAGGGACACCTGTCGGAGGGGTGCCGGCTTCCCTGAGTGTGGGTCACGAGGAGGGGATTCCGTCCCCAGAGGAGCTCAGGAAGGGAGGGGTAGCCCCATCCCTGGGCATCAGGGCACCTACTCTGGCCCAGCCCGCCTTTGTGCTGGGCCGGGAGAGAGACCGACACCCCTGCCCTGCGCTCGGGAGCTCACGGTGGGGCTGGGGGTGGGCAGCAGGGCCAACCGTGGAGGCTTGCATGCCGCAAAAGCCCAGCTCTCTGTCGTCCCCGTACGGCAAGAGCCTGCAATTGCCGCAGGCCCTCCCACCCACATCCTTGTGGCACCACAGGCTGATGGCCGAGGGACAGGAGATGGCCAGTCACCGCCCCCGGCTGTCCTGGCTTCCACCCTACCCAGCCTCAGGGCAGCCGGTGGGGCCGTGGCCTCCATCTCAGTGGGGGCAGATGCTCGGGCCGAGCCAGCTAGGGAGCCAGGCAGGGCTGCCCAGGGCGGGTGGGGGCCCTATTCAGGCCAGGCCCAAGGCCACAGTGATGACCTCACCTGCGGGCCGCTGGTCAGCCCGCACAGGTCAGCAACGCTGCACACATAGAACAGGACGTTCCCTGCAAAGCAAACAGATTAATAAACGCGGGGCCGGGGGGCGGATGCAGGGGGTTGTCACGAGGGGCTGGCTTCCCGAGGTGGCTGCCACGTGGGTGAGGGGCAGGTCTAGGGGGGCAGCTGCCTCTGCCCATGTGGCCCCCATCCTGTGCTTCTTGAGTTTGCCAGGAACTGAGCCCGGGCCCCTGCAGGGCTGTGTCCCTATGTGGCCACCCTGCCCTGGCCGGGGGCCCCCAGAAGGGAAGCCTGAGAGCCTTGGGCCCCTCAGGCCTGCTGAGCCCTGGACGTGGTGGTGGGTCTCTGGGGTTCTGACGATGACCTACCCTGGGAAATTGGGGACGCAGAGGCTGAGGATACAGGGGAAGGAGCAGAGGCTTCCGAGGCCCTCAGCTGGCCCATGGGACCCAGTCGGGGGTGGAGAGCAGCCTCCAGCCCTGGCTGGACAGGACAGAATCTACCCGCGGCTGGGTCTCCTGAGGGGCTGCTCTGCCGAGAGCTCCCGGCCCCCACCCTCAGTGCCCGTGGCCCAGCGCGGCCACCCCCAACCCTGGCAGCAGGTGGGGGCAGGGCTGGGCCAGGCCTGGAAAGGCTCCCACGGAGGCGGCCCAGCTCCGGGTCCCCCTGCTGCCTTCCTTCCTCTCCGAGCCAAGGAAGAGGGGGGCCGTGCAGGGCGAACAGTGGCGGACAAGGCAGCTTCTGTCCCTCTCCAGGCCCTCTGCCGGCCAGACCCTTTCCAGCCGGGGGCCCCCGGAAGCTTCCCCCACAGGGCTGCCAGTGGCCGGCTGCCTTCGGATGCGGAGGGAGCATCCTCTTGGGGCGGTGTGCGGGCGCCTGGGGCCCGGCAGCCCTGCCTCGGCCTAGGGGCCCTGCCTGGGATGCAGCCGCGTGAGGCAGGTCAGAGCCCTGACAGCCCGGGCAGCCCTGGGGGAGACCCCCGCTCAGGTGAGTCTGGCAGGGGCTGGACTCGGACCATCCGGTGGGGTGCGGTGGGCGGGTGCATGTCCAGAGCCTGTCACTGGCAGGGGCGCAGGGGGTCTGGCGGGCACCGGGCGGTGGAGTGTGGGGAGACACGGGACGGCTATATTCCGGGATGACCGGGGCTGGGGCTGGCATGGCCAGTGGGCGTGGCCGTTGGGGCTGTGGGTGTGGTGTAGGGGCGTGGCCAGATGGTGGGTGTGGTCATGTGGGGGTGTGGCCGTCGCTGACCGGCTTGAGGGCTGGCAGGGGGCTGGTCCAACTGGACTCAGGTTTCCTTTGAACTGTCCTGAAAAAACAAGGGGACTTTTATGTAGCTGGAGGACAAAGCCCTGCTGCGCGCTGCGCTTCCATCTGTGTTAATCTTGCCACCCTGCCGGCCCCTCCCCAGCCAGCAACAGGCCCCAGAAGTGTGTCTGGGGGGCACTGCCTGCAGCTGCTGCCCCACCCCCCCATCCCTGCCCATCCGTGCCGCCCGGGCTCCCCTCGCTCTTTCCCATGACACGGGCCCGCATGTCCTGCCCGCAGCCCTGCCCCTCCAGGGTCCTCAGCACTCGGGGGTGGCAGCAGTGGCAGCCTCTGGGGCTGGGAGGGGCTGGAGGGCACGGTGCATGGAAACTACACACAGGGTCCCGCACGCCCAGTAAATAGTAGGCACCACTCCACTTAGGAAGCACCTGCTACGTGCCAAGCGCTGAGCTCTTGCGGTACGCCAGCAGACAAAACAGTCGCAGGGCCGAATCCTATCAGGCCAGGTACAAGTAACAAACACAAGTAGGTCGTGCGTGAGATGTGCTTTGGGAGAGAGGAAAGGCGGGGTGTGGGGGTGGGATGCAGCTGTCCATACAGCAGCCAGGTGGGCTTCAGGAGGGGCTGTCTTAGTCCGCTCCAGCTGCCAAACAGCGCCACAGGCTGGGTGGCTTCCACAGGCCATTGTCTCTCCCAGTCTGGAGTCCGGAGGGCCCAGGCCAGGTGCAGCATGGTCAGGCTCTGGTCAGGACTCCCTTTCTGGCTGGCGGACGGCCGCCTGCTCGCTGTGTCCTCACATGACGGAGAGAGAGAAAGGGAGGGAGAGAGCTTGAAAACCGGTGTCCTCTGATAAGGGCACTAATCGTTGTGGGGGCTCCACCCTCACGACCTCATCTGTACCTAATCACCTCCCGGTACCATCACCCTGGGCACTGGGGCTTTAACACATGCATTTTGGTGGGACACATGTACTCGGACCCCAAACAGTGACATTTGAGCAAAGACTTGGAGCTGGAGAGGGAGTGAGCCCCGGGCTTACTGCGGGAGTAAGTCAGTCCAGGGCTTACTTGCAGCAGTCCAGGCAGAGGGAACAGCCCGTGCAAAGGCCCTGAGACAGGACCAGCCCGGCAGGTGCAGGGCAGTGGGGGACTATGTCTGCAGCTGACAGAGCCGGGAGAGGGCAGGACCCTCGGACCGAGAAGTGGAGCGACATGATCTAAGCGGGTCCTCACTGTGTCCCTGGCCCATGTGGGGAAGGGACTTAAGGGGCAGGTGAGGCAGCAGGCAGGTGAGGCGCTGGTGACTGAGGTCCCCGTGAGGGGAGAAGGGGCTGCACCCGGGGTCTGTTGTGAAGTGGGGGTGAAGGGGAGGTGGGGGCTGCCCTGGCCTGAGTGGAGGGGGCAGGGGCGGTGCTGCCCGTGGGGGCACAGGCTGGGCTGCGCCGAGGTCCAGAGCTGGCCGAGGGCAGAAGTGACGACCATGTGACGGTCAGACTCAGGCAGGAGTGGGCGGTGCTGGGAGAAGTTTCCAGACCTTGCCTGTGTAAGGGGGAGACAGGAAGCCAAGCCAGGAGGGCCGTGGCCTCGCAAACTCTCCGGACAGAGGGTGCATTTAGCCGGGCCCAGAGGGCCTTCCGCCTGCAGCCGGTGCCTGGCCGCGAGGGCCACGCAGGCCGCATCTCAGAAGGGCGCTCGGTGGAGGGCCAGGTGGGAAGCGGTTTGGGCCTGGGCGGGTGCCCGCGAGACCGGCCTCGCGCAGCGCGTGGAGAGAGGGCGCGGGGTTTTCACGGGTGTGCGAGTCGGGCCCGCCTGTTACTGCCGTCCTGCGCACAGAGGCGGCGCTGGCACTGCCCCAAACGCCACGTGGTGGGGAACGACGCCGTCCCTCCCTCAGCGCCGCCTTCCTGGTCCGGGGTGGGGGCGGGCAACGGGCAGCCCCTCAGACAACAGGGCCGTGTCCCAGCGCCCTCCTGTCCGTCCAGGCTTACGGCCCGAGGCGGCGGCAGTGGCGGAGGGGCCGTCCCGCCCGCACGCGGAGTGCCTTAGGGCCCTTCCACGCCTCCCTGCCCGGCCCATCCCTCTGACGGAGTAGGACCAAGGGTCCACGTCTGCTGGTCCAGTGGTGCCAAGACTGGGTCCCCAAAGTGTCCCTGAGACCAGGCCTGGCTCTACCCACCGCTTCCAGTGCCCGCCCACTGTCGGGGGCTGCCGCACGGTCAGTGTCCACTGCACGTCTGGGCGCTGCCGGGCCAGGAGAGGAGGCCCGAGTCTTCCTGCCATGCAGGGCAGAGGCAGGGTCCTCATTAGCCGGGCTCTTTCCACTCGCGTCTCCTCTGCCCGGAATGTTCTACCGCCTTTTCCCTGCTGTCTGTGCTCCCCCCCTTCTCGCACACCTGCGCAGAGAGGCCCCTGCGGCTGCTCAGTCTCAAGCAGCAACGGCCCCCCCGGCCCTGCCCACAGAGTCGGTCCTCACATCGCAGGCTCCGTCCGTTTGTCCATCTGTTGCCTTGTCCTGGCCCAGCTGCCAGGGTGGTTCTCCCCATCTTGTGCCTGGGACTGAGGTGGGGCTGAGGCCAGACCCTCCCAAACCTTCAGCTCAGGCGCCGCCCCCATCAGAGCAGGCTGTCGCCGGGGGTCCCCGGGCCGAGCTGCACCCGCCTCCACCAGGGCACCTCTGGGATGGAGGTCTGGAGTTGGGCCAAGGGGGTGGACAGGAGCCCAGGGAAGGTGCCGCAGCGGGGCTGGCCCAGGGCTCAGCTGAGGCCTTCGTCACCCCACCCCAGCCTGGGCTGCCCACCCAGAGGCCCACCCCGCCTGCCCCAGGGCCCAGGCTAAGGAGGTCCCAGGTAGGGGTGGCAGGAAGGGTGTTCCAGCAGAGGGAACGGCAGGAGGCGCATGGTGAGGCTGGGAAGAGGCCCGTCCAGAACCGGGCCCTTCCAGGCCTGGGGGACAGGAATCACAGCCAGACGCTACCGCCCCGCAAGGGTCCACCCGTCTCAACGTCCGCCTGTCTGCTGGCTTGTGTGGCTGGCGCAGGGGACACTTGGCATGACCTTTGCCTCCCCGCGGGGGGCTGACCGGCCTCCCTGTCTTCCAGGGGCCAGACCCAAGCGGACGCAGAGGCTGAGCGCGGAGACCTGGGACCTGCTGAGGCTCCCCCTGGAGCGGGTGAGCGGGGGCCCCACGGGGACAGATGTCCTCGCAGCTGTGCCAGAGTGTGGGCAGTGGGTGGTGAGGTTGGGGCCCTGGTCTCTGCGCTGCCACCACCTGCCTCGGACCCTTCCCTGCCCACGTGCCCTGCCACCGGGCGGAAATGTGCACTCAGCGGCCTGAGGCCCTGGACGGGCCCATCTGCCACTGGCCCCGAGCCCGCAGCACCCCAGCAGGGCACCTCCCTCACTGTCCAGCAGCCGGGCCCCCGGGGCAGTGCGCGGCCCTTGCACTTTGCAGACCCCGTGCCCCCACCCAGCCGCTGTGTCGCCAGCGTCCTGGGGAGTCCACGGACAGGGACACCCTCTCCTGGCTGCTCCCTGCCCATTCAGACTTTGTATCCAAAGGGGACACGGAGCTGCTCCAGGTGGAGACGCCAGCTGGGTCTCCGCAAACCCAGGCAGACAAACTCGGGCTGGGTGGGTTTGGGGCCCTGGGCTGGCTCTGTACCTGCCAGGTGTGGGTGCTGTGTGGCCCTGGGGCAGTGGCCTAACCTCTCTGAGCCTCTGGTTCGTCCAGTGTAGCCTGGTTCAGTTGTGGACGGCTGTGAGGTGGGGGCGTGGCTCAGGGACGCCCACGGTCACCACCCTTGCCCAGTGTGAAAGGCGGACAGTGGGGATCCCTCAGACACCCCCCCACCTCTCCCTGCCCCAGCCCAGGGTGCCCACAGCCTGTCTCTTCCCTGTTCCTCGGGAACCAGGCACCTGCTGTGTGCCTCTGGGAGGTGGGGGTGGCAACTGCACCCGCCTGGCCTTCCCCGAGGGTCCCGGGAGAGGGGACCTTGGTGGGACATTGCCCCGGGCACATCACGGTCCCCTCCCCAGGAGCAGAATGGAGATAGCCACCACGCAGGGGACTGGCGGGGGCCCAGCAGGGACTCGCTGCCCCTCCCCGTGAGGAGCAGGAAGTACCAGGAAGGACCCGACGCCGCTGAGAGGAGGCCCCGGGAGGGCGGCCACTCCCCGCTGGACAGCGCGGACGTCCGGGTGCAGGTGCCGCGTACGGTAGGCGCCTCGTGGGGCCGGGTGGGAGGCGACCGTGGAAACTGCGCAGCGCCCTCCCCTCCGCGCCCATCGGGCCGGGGGCACCCGGGCGTCACTCCAGGGCGGCAGGCGTCCCTGGTGGGCCTGGCACTGTGCGTCCCCTGGGACCCCAGCGGTGCTCGGTGTCGGGGGCTCCGAGCAGGGGCAGTGTGTTCACAGTCGCCGGTAGCGCCCCAGCCTCAGGGAGACCCAGGCCACCGAGGAGCCTCAGTCCTGCTCGGACAGGCCTCAGTTTCCATCTTTGCCATCAGTCGGGGGCTGGCTCTTCCCAGTCTTTGGTGGCCGTGCTGTCTGTCCCCGCACCCTCCCTGCCTCGCTGGACCCTCCAGACCCATCTGCTGGTCACAGGAGTGTGTTCCCCCAGAGGGACTGGCTGCACAGACCTGCCCCCCCGACGGTGCACCCCAGGGGGCTCTTTCGGGGCTCTGGCCAGGGGTGTTGACCCCGTGGGTCCTCTGGCAGGAGGCCCCGGGAGGTGGACGAAGCTAACATAATCGCAGGGGGTCCTGGAACTGCTGACACCTCCCGCGGGTCTCCAGAGCTGTAGGGCGGGGGCCCCTGAGCAGAGGGACCCCAGAGCAGAGCTGCGAAGCCCCCTCGGCCACACCCGCAGGTCAGGCCCAGACGCGGAGGCACCTGGGAATGCTGCAGCCGTGGCCCGGCAGCGGTGCTGGGGGCATCTCTTCTGTCCTTCTCGGGGACTGAGGGCAAGACAGGTGGGCACATGCCCCAGCCCTGGTCCTGGGGGCAGGGTTGTGCACAGGATGGGGCTGGGGTGGCAGATGCCAGCTGCAGAGCCCCTGGTGGGGGGACAGGGAGCTGGAGTCCGCCCAGGGCCCTCGTGGCCAGGAGCTGGTAGACCCCGCCCCACCCCACCGGGCTCGGGGTCACAAGTGGAGTTGGACCAGGGGCCTTGCTGGGGTGGGGACGATAGCCCAGCAAGGGGCCACTCAGGTCCTCAGGCCCAGCCAGGGGCCCCCCTGGGGCACAGGCAGCTTTCGCTGCGATATTCAGCGGTGGGGGATGGATGGGGGCGGTGGAACTGATGGCCACGGGTGCGGACAGATGGACAGACAGACTGGTGGGCAGGCAGATGGACACGGAGGGGCCGAGTCCGGGTTCAGAGACCAGCCTGGGCCCCCCAAGCAGGACACCTGGGTCCAAACCCCCAGAAATTAGTCTAAAATTAGTTCCCTCCGTGGGCTTAATCGGCGCCTTCCCAGCCCGCGCGGGGCGTGGGTGCCGTGCGGGTATTCTTAGCCCCGCGAGCTGCCTGCGCCGTCCCTCCCACCAGCCTGGTGCAACCTCCCCCGACCTCATTCAACCCCAGGGCTGCCCGACGGGCCTGACTGCCGGCCGGGGTCAGTCTGTCCCTTGGCATGAGAGGCGAGGGGAGGGTGCCTGGGGGGTCCCCAGTCAGGCCCACTAGAGCGTGCTCCTGGGTGGCCTCCGCCCAGCCTCCCTGCACCTGGCGGGAGGGCAGGACTGGCTCTGGCTGTCACGTCTGGGCCGACGGGGTAGCAGGAGCTGGCCGAGCATTCGGGATGGGCCAGGGCCAGTGGGCGCTGGGGCCTGGGAGGGGCAGATGGTTCTCCAGGAAGCCCAGGCTCAGGAGGGCCCCCAAGCTTCGTGTGCCCCCAGCGAACTCCCCTGGACGCAGCCAGGGGACAAATTCCAGTGTCCAGCTTCACAGGGCCCAGCTGCAAGGCAGGGAGTCTGGGGCTAGCGGCTGCTGCCCTGAGGAGCCCCTGTGTGCTGTGGGACCTGGTCCCCGCCCTTGCTGCCACCTCACAGGGCAGGATACCTGGGGACAGCCTAGCTCTCAGCACTGTGGGGCGTGGCAGCCTCGCAGGCCTCCTGGTGACCAAGCCCTGCTGCCCTCCCTGAGGTCAGCGCCCTGTGTGCCCCAGAGGAAGGACCGTCTGTTCCCCAGGTGGCAGCCGGCTGGGGACTGCAGTGGGGGTGGGTTGGGGACATCTCCAGGAGGTTGATGGCTGGGTGGGGCCTGGAGAACTCGTCCTGGGGTCGGGGGCAAGGAGCAGGGCAGGCTGGCCTCAGAGGGTAGGGACAACATGGGCGGGGTCGGGGGTGTTCTGGAGAGGCGGCCGCTGCCCGCCTGGCTGGGGCCGAGCTGGGCTGGGGCGACCTCGAGGCCAGGGCAGTGAGCGCCACGGAGGACTGGAGCAGGGAGGGCGGCTGGGGCAGGGGCGGGAGGAGGACAGCTTCGGCTCCTGGGGGCCTGCTCGGGAACTGGCTGAAGAGAGGCGGCCTCCCTGGCTGGCCCGCTTTGGAGGCAACCAGGCCCGGTGTCAGAGCCGGAGGAGGGCTTTCCAGAGAGGCTGTCCTCCCCAGCGCCCTGGCGCGACCGCCCACAGCTGCTCAGGGAGCCCCTGTCAGTGTTTACAGAGCACGCCCAAGTGTGTGAGCGCGCGTGAGAGAGAGCGCGTGCGTGTGCGCACATTCGAGTGAGCGAGGGCGGCGCCGGGAGGGCCGGGCCCTCGCCCGGGCTCCTATTTAAGCATTGGGCCAACACCGTGGGGCGCGTCATCGGGGCGGCGCTGGGCATCTTGGCGTCCTGCCTGGGCTCGCGTGGCCAAGCACCCCGCACAGCTACTGGCGCTGCGGTGGAGGGAGCCTGTGGCCCACGTGAGTGGGGGGCCCTGCTGTCCCTGCCGGGGGAGGCTCGGGGCGCACGCGGGCCTCTGCGAAGCTGGGGTGGGTGGGCTTGACCGAGGTCTGTTCCCTTCCTCCATGGAGACAATGGGCTTTAACTAAAGCAAGAGGGAATGGAGTCAGACTCAAGGAGGAACTCTGAGACTTCCAGGAAGGATGGGGCCAGGGTTTGAGACACAAGAGAGGTTAGGTAGGAGCTGGGGGGCAGGACCCCTAAGGCCGTCAAGTGTGTCCTGTGGGGTTCAGGGTTGTGCTCCCGAGTGAGGGGCCTGAGGGGGCCTCGTGCTGTCTGGAGCCTCTCCCAATGCCAGGCGCTGAGCCGAGGTCTTGCCCCTGAGGTCTCAGGCCCCCAGCGCCCTCCCCAGGAGGGAAGCATGAGCCTTGGCAGGTGGCCGCTGGCTCAGGGAGGGGAGGGCTACCGGTCTTAGACCCCGAGAGGGCTCTGCTTCGGGGCTCTGGGCACGGTGCCGTGTGTGATGGGGCCAGGGGAGGCCTCAGGGCAAGCCCCCCTGTTCTTCGAGTGCACCCCTTGAGTCCCAGGTTTCCGTGCGGAGGAGGCGTGGCCTGGACCCCCGTGGGTCCTGCCTTTCCCAGGAGGGGCCTTGCCTAGTTCGCCTGGGGAGTCCACGGGACTGCTCCACCCTGGGGGGTCCAGCTCGGGCCAGATGCAGGGGCTGGGGGCCCAGAGCAGCCGTTGTCCACCCCACCCCTGGCTGTGCCAGGGCAGCCCTCAGCCACTCTGGCCCCAAAGAGCCCGGAGCGGCTCCCCTCTGGGCTTCCTGGGGAGGCACCTGTGTGGCCCACGGCAGATGCCCTCTGCGGGCCGGCAGGTCCTAGAGCCCAAGCCCAAGTGCACGTGGCCCTCAGCGCCAGCTCTCCCTTCCCTCCCGCCCCCGCGCCAGGCCTGTGTGTGGGCCAGGGGGGCTTGAACCCTTCCTCCCCAGCTTCAGCCCCGTGCCTGCCCCTGAGGGGCAACCGCGGGGCTGCTGCCTGCTGACCTTGCTGCCCCCGCCATGTGACTCTTGCTGCTGAGAGCTTGGGCCAGTCCTAAAGCCGGCTCACCCATGGGGCCTGCCCATGTCCGAGTCCAGCGTGGGGCCCAGCTCTAGCTCTGCTCCTGCTCCCGTGACGCTGGCAGCCACACAGCCTCTCTGCGCCTCTCTCCTCTGTGCCATGGGCTGGTGACAGCAATCCCAGGTGTCCTGTATTTCAGCCTGTGTCCGGCACCCAGGGGGTGACATCTTTGCTGACACGGCCTCGCTGTGCGTTTGTTCCTGGCTGTGTGGGCCCAGCATGGGGGGGCGGGGGGAGCCCTGCGGAGGCCCCTGCCGAGAGGGACAGGCCGGGCCAGCAGGTGCTCCAGCCCCCCAGGGAGCTGGACGGTGAGCCCACCCACCTGTCGGCCCTCACGGGGCAGGGAGTGCTCTGTAAACCGAGGCCAGGTGAGGGCACAGCTTCCAAGGTCACCTGCTCACTCCGTGGCAGACACTGGCAAGTGGGGGGCCGCGTGCGCAGACACAGGGAGCACATCCCAGGGGTGACGAGGGCGTGACAGGGCAGGGGGAGGCGTCTGGGGTGAGCTGGGGCTTTCTAGGCTGTGGTGCGTGAGTGGGGCGGCAGCCACGGAGGGAGCACGTGGCGGGGTGCGGGTTTCGGACCTGGGAGAGGGACGGCCACAGGGGCAGGTGAGGGTCCTGACTGGCCCAGGTTTCAGAACTGGGTGTGGCCGGTGCAGCGTCCAGGGGCCTGGGGGACCACGTCTGGCTGCAGCGACCCCGTTCCCTCCCCAGAGCATCCCGCGGGCCCCGTCTTCGGACGAGGAGTGCTTCTTTGACCTGCTGAGCAGGTTCCAGAGCAGCCGCATGGACGACCAGCGCTGCCCGCTGGACGAGGGGCAGGCCGGGGCCGCCGAGGCCCTGGGGGAGAGGATCGGTGAGTGTGCCCTCCTTGCACGCCGGGCAGGCCAGCTGCGGTGCCCGGCCACCGAGCTCCCCGCCCTGCTCTTGCCCCAAGCGGTGTCCCGGGAAGCCTGTAATCGTCCCTGCCCCTCCGGAACACGCCATGCCAGGGCGCAGCTGCGGTCTCAGCGGGGTCTGGGAGGCCAGGGCTCTGCTCCTGTCCTCCTGGAAGTCCCCAGGCAGGCACCATGTCCCCAGGGGTACGGGGGGTAGGCTCAGAGGTCAGAGCTACCAGCCAGTGACTTGAGCCTCAGGCCCGACCCTGCAGTAGGTCCCAGTCCCCCTGCACAGCCCCGAGGGTGCCCCAGGCCTCACCCTCTGCCCCCGCAGGCCAGCCTGTGGCCACGGCTTCCCCCCAGACCGAGGAGCTCTTCGACCTCATCGCCAGCTCGCAGAGCCGCCGGCTGGACGACCAGCGGGCCAGCGTGGGCAGCCTGCCCGGGCTGCGCATCACCCACAACAACGTGGGGCACCTCCGCGGCGACGGGGACCCCCAGGAGCCAGGGGACGAGTTCTTCAACATGCTCATCAAGTACCAGGTGGGCCTGCCGCCCGGCAGGTGGGGCTCATTCAGCCTGCCCAGCCCAGCCCCCCATGGGATCGTGGCCCCTTCGCTGTCCAGTGGAGGCGCTTCGAGGGCCCCCGGGGGGTGAGGTGGGCTCTAGCCCCTCTGTCCAAGGCCATGTGTGAGGGACGCCCCCAGGGGCTGGAGCCACAGGCTGGTGGCCAGAGCCGGCTCAGCAGCGTCACTGGACGACCACGGGTACTTGGACCTGGAGCCTTCTTTCTGGGAGCCCTCATCTGCTGGGGAGATGAGAGTCCCCCAAGAAGGCAACCCCAGAACAGCCTCAGGCTGGGCTGTCCCTCACAGCACAGGAGCTCAGAGCCGGGGTCAGGGGTCACCAGGTCTGCAGTTCGTGGCCTCAGGGATCCCCACCAGGTGCCACAGCTGGGCAGAGGAAACCAAAGGCATGACAGCAGCCCCAGAGTGGGGCAGGGAGACCCCGGGGCTGCCAGGCACTGGCGGGGTGAAGGCGGGGACCACGCACGGCGCACGGCAGGGGCGGAGGGTCCAGAGCTGCGGGAAAGCGGAGCCAGGACAGGGGTTCCAGCTGGGTGGCCTCATGGCAACGTCCCCCTCACCAGCCTGAGGGTCTCACCGTGGCTGTGGGGTCCAGCCACCTGCCATCCAGGGCAGAAGGCGCAGCAGGTGGGGCTTCAGGGTCAGGAGATGCAGCAGATGGCTCAGGGGTGGGGCACGGGCAGCAGCTTGGCCTGCACCAAGCCAGCAGGTTTCCATTCCCACAGAGAAGAGGAAACTATGGCCCCGGGCCAGGCATCCGACAAGCCGCCTCGAGTCCGGCCCTTCCTGAGAAGCCCAGAGCCCCCTGTCCACACGCACGCACGCGCCCACGGCTGCGCCGGCTCCCGGCCCTTCTGCTCCAGGCCCTGCAGAGAAGCCCAGACGCCCCCTCAGGCCCCCAGCCTCCATGCTGGGGCCGGCACGGCCCCCCGGGCTCAGCCACCTGACCCAAGAGGGAGCCCTGGGGAGCCCCACACTACAGCTCTGTGAGCTGCAGCCCCAGGCCTGCCAGGGTCGGCCCTCACTGTGCCAGCTTCCCGGCCAGTGCAGAGGGATGGCCACGCGTGTCCCTGGGGATCAGCAGGCCTCGGGGGCCGTCCCAGCAGCTGTCTCCTGGGCCTGGCTCACCCTGCACCCAGCAGGTATTGTTCAACCTGCCTTGCTGGGCAGCCAGCCCCAGGCCCTGGGGGATGCGGCCCATGGAAGACTGTTCTTGGGGTCAGGACTCCCAGCACAAGACCCCAGAGCCAGGTGGCCCTGCAGCTGATCTCCCAGGTGGACACAGGGAGGCCCGAGGTGGCCAGAGCAGCCCAGTTGAGCCACTGGGTGTGGGCCTGACCTCGGAGGTGTCCGTGAGTCCCCAAGCAAGGGGCCCAGGGAGGGTGAGGCCACCAACCGTGTGTGTGTCCACTCAGTCCTCCAGGATTGATGACCAGCGCTGCCCGCCGCCTGACGTGCTGCCCCGAGGCCCCACCATGCCAGACGAGGACTTCTTCAGCCTCATCCAGAGGGTGCAGGCCAAGCGCATGGACGAGCAGCGGGTGGACCTCACCGCCAGCCCAGAACCGGAGGCAGGGGGGCCACCTGTGCCCCCGCAGCAGTGCCAGCCCGGTGCTAGCTAAGGCCTCATACCCACTCCTGGACACCGGGGGCTCACAATAGTCCACGATGCCCACAGCCCCCCAAGAAGCCGAATCCTCCCAAGGCCATGGCTGAGGGCAGGCTCTGAGCCCCAGGCCCACCGCTGAGCTGACGCTGGGCACACAGCCCCACAGCATCCCTAACCCAGGTGGCAGGAGGGCACACTTCCGCCCAGGCCTGACCCCACGTGGTCCACGGCCTCCTGCAGGCCTGCCCGGCCCAGCCTTGCCCCGCCCCTTCCCTGGCTGGCCCGGCCTTCGGCATGTTGGCCCCAGACCCAGTGCCGGCCAGACCCTCCCCACCCTCTGCCCACACCCCCTTCCCGGGCTCGTCTTGCCCAGCCAAATGTGAAACCCTGCCATCTCCCCACGTCCCCCAAAGCTGTCTCTGAAGCCTCTTGGGGCTTCCAGCAACATGGGCACGTCCTGCCCCCAAAGCCGGTCCTAGGATGGCCATGTGGCAGACACGCTCAATGCCCTCTGGCCTGGTCCCTAGGGCAGGGCTGCCCCTGAGCCTGTCCCCCGACTCCTGCCCCAGGGGGAGGAGGGGGAGGTCGGCAGCCACAGAAAGCCCACCCAGACGGGGCAGCAGAGGGCAGGTGAGGTGCCCCTGGAGTCCCCGGCCCTGGCACGTGTCCTGAGCCAATGGGGCCTTGCGGAGGGAAGGATGGGCACGAACCTCAGCATTCCTGACTCCAGTCCCTGGGCCAGAACACAAGCAGGGCCTGGTCCTAGGGCCACTGGCGGGCAGGGACGTCTGTACCCAAAGTGGGACTAGGCTCTGTGGCTGTCACCAAGTCAGTGGGTCAGCGAAAGCTGGAAGGGGCTTGGCTCCACTCAACCCTCTGAACTCCCCCGAATGAGAACCCTCCTCCCCTCCATCAGCTGAGGGTGATGACATCACTGCCTCCTCCCCATGGGGGGGTCTAGTCCCCACACACCTGAGAGCCCACAGGACACAAGGCTTAGACCCAGACTCAGGCAGGACCCGCTGGAGCCTCTGGAGACAGGCCCCTCAGGGGACAGTGGCCTCGAGCTCCCACCTGGACCCTGCCTTGGCTCACCCTTCTGGAGAGCCCCTGGGGCTGGAGGCAGCCTCTCTGGGTGGTGCCTGGGGTCCTGCTCTTGAGCCTGGGCAGGTGGCCTGGCCCCCGCCCCGTGGTATGGCCTGGAAGCCGGGCAAGGCCCCAGCAGGGGAGGGTGGTGGCCCCACTTGTGAGAGAGCAGGGCAGACGCCAGGGCACAGGGTCTCCCAGGGACGCAGCGCCGCCCCGCATACTTGAATGTACGTGCGTATTTATTGCTCACACGTGTTTGCCGTGTTGTCAGTGGGTCCTTTCCAACCCAAGAGGTACACTTGTTTTTCTGTTTTTCCCAAAAAATAAAGTCTGCCAAGCGAGTGCCGTCTGTCTCAGGATTAGACCCCAGTGTGGCGCTTCCAGGAGCCCCAGGGCTGACCTGACCCGGGAGGGAGGCTGCGCCCACTCGGCCTGTCTGGCCCCCGAGACCACTGGAGGAGGGTCCCTGCTGCATGTAATAGGGAAGCTGAGCAGAGGAGCCCACAGGGGTGAAGGCCACCCACACTCCTCGCCTCCTGGGGGATAGAGGAGCAGGAGGCCCCCAAGCAGCCTCCCTCGAGGTCAGCCCCATGGCCATCCACACGGCCCCCACCCCTGCTGAAAGGGCTTTGGCCCAGGGGTCTGGGTCCTAGTGGCTCCGGGTCCCGCAGGTCCAGAAGCCATGAAATGGCTCAGAGCAGGCGGCAGCCATGGGGCTCGTCCTGGGTGGGACCCCCACAGGGCTCCGGGGACACAGCCATGCCAGTCGGACACACACCAGGAAGGCCACCCCATGCACACCAGCAGGCAGCCATGCTCCCCTGGCGCCCTGCCTGGAGCCCCGCCACCTCCCCACCTGCAGAGGGGGTTTGGATGCAACAGTTCCAACTCTGGGGCCTAAAGCCCTGGGATGATGCCTGGGCCACAGAGGCCACCTCTGGGAGCCTTGGGTCCCCTAAGGCTCAGGCCAGGCCGCCTTGAGCCCACTTTAGGGATTTCCAGCCTTGGTCTACTCAGGGTCCCCGCCCCCCCAGGCTGGGTGGGAGAAGCACTTGTGCAGGATGGAGCAGTACGCTCTGAGCAAGGACTGCTGGGCAGGGCAGAGGGCTGAGCGCGGCCCTGCAGGGCGGCAAGGTGGGCACACTACTGGGCAAGGCCACTGCAGCCCACCTGCTTGTCTGCTCTGAGCGTGGAGAGGTGGGCGCACAGGCAGGGCATGGAGAAACAGGCGTGGACCAGACCACACTTATGGGAGGAGCAGGTCCACCACGTGACTCTCGCCAGCGAATCGGGTCCAGGGCCTTGGAGTCAGCAAGGTTGCGCGGCCAAGCCCAGCCCCGGCGGCCCCCAGGAAACCCCCAGCTGCCCCATGGCCAGGGCCCAAAATGGAGAAGCAGGCCCAAGTGTGCGGGGCTGGCTCAGCCCTAAGGACGATGACAGTTTGACAGTTTGCACCCACGGTGCAGGAGGCTCTGGGTGGGAGTAATAGAGGGTTGCTTGCCGAGGGGAGGACAGGGGGTAATCAAGTCAGAGCTCACGCCGGGAACAATGCCACCGCCCCCAGCCTCCCACGGCCCAGCGTGAGCCGGTAATCACTAGCTGACACCTGCGGGACGGGGCCACGTGTCAGTGAGGCTCTTCCCCGCAAGACTGGGCTGGTGACTAATGCGGAAGGTCACACGGCCCAGAACACTTCTGGAAATAAACATGCTCCTGCGTTTGTTCCCTTTCATAAACACAGGAGCGTCCTGAGCACACAAACAAGGTTGGGAGACAAACCACGCGCACCCAAGAGGTGTGGGGACACTGGCTCCTGACCCAGGACACTCAGCCCCAGCTCACACGCCCCTCCCCAGCTCCCGCGACGGCTGGTCCTGCCTGTGGCCACAGTGCAGTCTGGTGAGACCGAGATCTGCGCTGGCTACGGGAAGGAAGTCACCAGTGCTGTACAGGGGTGGCAGGGGCACAGCAGGAAGGCAGAGGCTCACAGGGGGAAAGTAACCTGCCCAAGGCCACCCAGCCACAGCCTGGAGGGGTCTGACCCCAGGTCCAGCCCCCTCGCACTTGGACGTGGCCCTGCTGTGGGCAAGGCGCAGTGAGGGCCGGGTCGTGCGGCCGCGGAGCCTCACCCGGCAGCGCTGGGGGTTCGTGGCTGTCGTTCCAACTCCAGAAAAACGCCAGAGCCACAGGCCCTAGCATCTGGAAATGACATCTGTTTATTGATAGAAAACAGGCCACATCCAGGGAGGCCCAGGGTCAAAACATCCTTCCGGAAGGCGTAAGTCCCACGGCGCCAGCAAGCGTGGGAGTCAGCTGGGCTCCGCCTTACCAGGGTGGCTGCGGTCCTCGTCCTCACCCGCTTCCGGAGAAGTGGATGTGGGGGCCCCTGCAGCCTCCAAAACCAGTTCCAGGGCCCCCTCCACAGCCACTCGGCGCACCTCCTCCCCTCTGGCCGCCAGGATCTCTTCGATGTTCCTGAGAGGCAGGCACAGGGTTACTCGCCAGGCCCAGTCTCTTGAGAGCACCCCATAGCCAGGCACTTGTGTGGCATCTGGCCAGGCCTGTGTGCCTCACCCACCCCCCAGGGCTCTGTCAGCAGGGCCACTCCAGGAACCAAGGATCTGGAGGTTGTCCTCTCCACCGCTGTGGGGTGCGTCCCCTAAGGGCGCCTCAGCCCGGCCCCTCACTACGCGACCAGGGCGCAGCAGACCCCGCTCCCCATGTGTCACAGGGGAGAGGCTCCGCACAGCCCCAGGTGTGGCGGGAGGATGGCTGGAGGCCGGAGGACACCTCCGAGCCCCTTCCGTGCTGACTCCAGGGACTTTCTGCTGCTGGTCCTGCCCGGGGCCTCCCGGCAGGCTCCTGACGGCACGTCCACTGCCCTCCCAGGAGAGGCGGCAGCGACCCTCAGGGCCAGGGCCCGGTCAACACCGCCTGCCACACCCACATGCCCCACTATGGGGCAACCACCCCGAGAACGCAAAGCGCCGGGAAGTGAGGAGGCCCTTCTGTGTGGCCGCGGCCAGGCAGTGAGCACAGGGGCTGGCCAGGGAGCCCATGTTTGGGGCACACTTACGCTGAAAAGCTCTCTGCAGTTCACCTGAAACCCAAACCTGACCGTCCTGCGTTGAGGAGGAAGCTGGGCTGCCCAGGTGGGCCTGTGAACCGCGACGCCAGGGGCAGAGTGCCCAGGGAGGCCAGGTGCCCTGCAGGGCTCCTGAACCAGGACGCACGGGCACGCCCCGGGCGCAGGCCTCACCTCTTGCCCTCCAGGTCCGAGAACCAGCCCAGGTTGTCGGCGATGATGTGATGGCTCCGGCAGCCGGGGCAGGTCACGATGACCACGCCCTGGTGATAGGCCAGCTTGGAGATGCGCTTAGAGGACCGAGCCCCGCACACCTGGCAGGGCGGAGAGCCGGTGAGGATCCGAGCCCGCCGAGTGTGAGGACGAGCCCCACCCCCTTCACGCCCCGCCTCCACTGGGCAGCCCCACCCTCCCGTGGCCCCGCCCCCGGAGGCTAACTCCACCCCTTCCCGTGGCCCGCCCCGCCCCCGCTCGGAAGGCCTCGCTGGGGCCCCTTCTCGCTGGGGCCCCTTCTCCACGCTGCGCCCTCCGGCGCCAGGTGCGAGCCCGGCCGCGCCCCGCCGCGTGCCCACCTTACAGGTGTAGACGAGCTGGTAGTGCGCCGCCTCCACGCGCCCCGGCCCCGGCTCGGAGCTCGAGTGCCGCCACCCCCAGCCCCAGGCTCGCCGGCTCCTCGTGGCCTCCGGACAGGCACTGCGGCCCCACAGCTGCCTCGCGCCAGGCCCCCAGGGCCGCGCACGACTTAGCAGCCTCAGCGTCGCTCGCAGCATGCCGCCCGCCGGCTCCCGTTGCCCGGCTCCGCCCCCCCCCCCGCTGCTGAAGCCGCGCCCGCCATCTTGGAAGCGGGCGCCGTGGGCGGAAGTGGCCCTCGGCTTCCGTTCGCCCGGCCACGGCGCGCCGAGCTCTGCTGCCCCCTGGTGGGGCCCTACGCACACGTGCAGGCTTCGCCGGACCGCTCCGCTGGGCGTCCCGCTCGCCCCGCCCCGCCTGCCCCGCCGCTCTGGGGGTCCCGCCCGGCGCGCAGCGAGGAGGGACAATTCCTCGTTGTTATTTATTGATCAGCCGCCGCATCCACAGCGCGAGCGTATCGGGTAGTAAAAGAACCGCTTCGGTTACGCCGGCGGGGACCAGCCCGGGCCTCAGCGGGGCAGCTCGTCGCGGAGCCCTGGGCTCCCCCTCGGCCGGGTCTGGCTCTGACGCCCGCTAGCAGCCCTCCGCGTCGGTGTTGTCGCTGCCCGAGCTGTTGTCGCGGTCCGCCTCGCCCTGTCTGCAGCTGTTCTTCATCTTCCTGAGGGCGCGCTTCCTGCGGGGGTCGCAGGTGTCCAGACCCGCCCACCCAGCCAGCTCCGCGCCGGGCCCTGCCCGCCCAGGCGGTCGCACTCACCTGCGGTAGTTCTCGAAACTCTCCTTGAGGCGCCGGCGCTCCTTCTCTGGGGGCTCGCCGCTGGTCAGGCCTGTGTCCTGGAGAAGGGGGCGGCTCGGGCTCCAGCCAGCGCCGCTGGACGCCGTACACACACCCTCCACCAGGCCCTGGGCTGCGGACTGCAGGGCAGGCTGGGGCCCAGACCGCCTGAGCTCAGCCAGGAGCCAGGCTCGTCACCTGGGGCCTGCCCGCAACCCTGAGGCCAGCCGGTGTCAGTGTCCTGCCTTTCAGATGACAAGGCAGAGGCCCAGGACATGGCTCTGGCCTGGGCTCCCCGCTGGTGTTCCTTCTACTATAAAGCCAGAGGTGGCCCCTTTGCTGTCGGGACTCCTGAGTTAACCCTCGAAGGTCAATGCTGACCTGCTGCAAAGGCCCCCAAGGACCAGAAACAGCCATCGTCCATGGCTGCCCCACCTGGGCACGTCCACTCCCAAGCCCACCCAAGCCTGGTGCTCTGTGGGCAAGGGGAGGGTGGTCTCCTTCTTGTTCCAAACACCCCACTCCAAGAGCCCACGGGCAGAGGCCTTGTGATCACCCAGCCGTGGGAGGGCCCAGCTGCTGAGCACTCACACTGAGGCCCACGCCGGGGAACCTCGGCTGCAGGGACCCCAGGCAGCCTTACATTGGGTGTCAGCGAAAGGCGTTCCTTCTGCAGGGCCGCAGAGGGCTGCTCCAGGCGCTCCCCGTCGGCCAGGCCTGGAAAGGACAGTTGTGCCCGTGGCTCCTGCCCACTCTCCAGACTGCGCTCGGCATGGCACACCCCACCCCCACCAATATTGCTGGACGTGACGTGGGGCCAGTCTCCAAGGTCCTGTGGGAACCTCCCACGGACCCAGTGAGGACTTTGCATTCTACAGACCAGGAGTCAGAGGCTGAGGCTATCTCCTCACTTCCAGCAGGGGCCCTCTAGGCAGGTGCTCCTACCAGCCCCACCTACTCCTCCTGACTGGCTGCCCCCAACTGCTGAGGACAGGGGGGCAGGAAGGCTTCTTGGCCCATGGGAGAGTTTGCCCACTTAAGCCCAGGCCCCAGCCCCTTGGCAGCGTCTACAGGCAGAGCAGGTCCTGGGGCGGCCACAGTGGAGGTGGAGGCCGGGCACTGCAGCAGGTGGGGGCAGGAGGGTCAGGCTGGACCCCGTCAGAATCCGCCAGGGCCTGGGCAGACCGGGGCTCGGGCCCCATGGGCAGAAGGTGCACAGGTGGCCAGGCAGGACCTTGCACATCCAGTCTCAGGTGGCACCGTGGGGAGAGGCCGGGCCCAGACTGTGCTGGCAGAGTGGCAGCCCCTCCTTGGAGCTGATACCCTCCCCTGCTTGCTCCTGCCCTGCCAATGCCTGCAGGGAGCTGCCTGAGCTGGGGACCCCCGCCCATCTCTGTGCCACATGGGGCTGGCGGCCTCAAGCGCACGTCTGCTGGGCTGCAAGGCCCCCACTTCTGCATCTGCGGCCCCTTCTTCCCCTTCTTGGCTCGGAGGTTGGGGTCAGGCCTGACGCTGAGGAAGTCTGTCTGACTTCCCACGAAACCTCTTCCCTCCACCCAGTCAGGACCGCCAGCTCCTGGGGACGCCACAGCTGCTGCTCCTTGCCGGCCCCCACCAGTCCCCTTTTGGGTGGGCAGAGGGTCCAGCCTCACCTGCTGAAGCCCCCTCTGTCCCAGGACACAGCAGGCCTTCGGCCACCCCTGCACTCGGCCCATCCCTCAAGCCACACGTAGCCCGTCTGTCCCCGCTTTCTAGTCCAAGAACCTGGGCATCAGCTTATGTCCCCTCCCTCCGCCCGGGACGAAGCAGGGTGGGCGAGTCCTGCTCAGCTCCGCACCGTGCCCGGGGGCCCCACGCCCGCCGCTCGGGGACGTGTCCTGCCGGCTCTGGGTTCCAGTCAGGCTCTCTAGTTTGCTGTCTGGGTGGCCTTGACCAGAGTACTTATCTCCCTCCAAGCCTCAGTTTCCCCATATGTAAATTGGGGCTGGAAGACTGAGACAGGAAGTGATTGGCCATGGCTCGGGGTGACCAGGGGGCTGCAGCCCCAGCACGTCCAGGCACACGGCCCTCACCTTTGTCCGAGAGCGGGGCGTCCTCCTCCAGGTCCTGGGGGAGCGAGAGCTTCCGGAGAGAGGCGGGTAGTCCAGTTAGGCCACCCTGGGAGCCACCGGCCTCCCGCTGCTCCTGCCGCCTCAGCTGGGCACAGCCACCGCTGTCACCCGCTGCAGAGCTGCTCAGGGACCCGGTGCCTGGCCAGACTGGGCAGACCGAGGCCCTGGCATTCCTGGGGCCACACTCACCTCCTGCGAGTTCCGGGGTGAGCCGTCCTCCAGGTCAGAGCTCTGTTGCCACAGCAAATGGGGGGGTCAGCTGGCCAGGAGGCACCGAGCCAGCCAGAGCATGGGGTGGGCAGGGGTGGGGAGGGGTTCCTGGGGATACCCCTCCCCACACCCAGAGCCGCCTGGTGGCCACTGCCACAGACGGTCCCACGTCCTGCTCAGGCCTTGGGCTAGTTGCACCCCTCACCGCACCACAAGGAGGGGCTCAGTGGGGCTGAGCTGACCTTACAGAGGGGCCGTGGCTCAGGAAGGTCCACGGAAGGCCAAGGCCACCAACCGGGCAGCAGCCGTCCCGAGGCTCCACGGCCCCCTGCACCCTGCGCGGTGTGCCTGGCACCCCCCGGCGTCCCCTCCCGCCCTGACCGCCCCAGAGGCCCACCAGGACAAGCGTCTCCAGCTGCTGCCGCTTGAGCCGGCCCTCCGTGGCCAGCAGCTGGGCCTCGCGCTGGAACAGCTGCAGCTGCAGCTCGTCCGCCTTCTCGCACAGCTCCCGGACCCGCTTGCGCAGCTCGTCCTTCTCCTGCAGGCTCCGGGCGTACTGCGCATGCAGCTCCTCCCGCATGGCGATGGCCTGCGGGGACAGCACGGGGCAGGCCCTCAGGGGCGTCCCGACAGAGCTCACCCAGCCCCTCGGTCCCAGAGGCGCTTCGTCCCTCTGCATCCCGCTGCTCCCAGCACGGCGCCCACGCCTGGCGAGGGTCCCCGCTGAACGCCAAGCACCGGCATCACCGGCCTCTTCCTCTTTGTTCCCAGTGGATTGTAAAAGTAACGAAGAATCCTGAGGGAACATGTGGGTGTCTACACATGAAAGGAAAATTGAAGTCTCTACATTCAACACCAGAACAATCCTGCTGCCCTGGGTGGTCTCTGGTCTACACCGCAGGTGGACTCGGCACACATTAGGCCCCTCTGCACGTGAGCGTGCATTTTATGAATTTTGGCTGTAGCTTGATACAGAGGATGTGATCGCTCGCGGCTGTGCGAGAGTCTTCCCAATGTGTACGGTGTGCTTCTGTGCCCGCCCCCGGGGGGACGCTGAGGGTCCAAACGCCTGGCCACCAGACCACAAGGACATGGCAAATAGCCTGGAGGCCACCAGTGCCCCCAGATGGCCAGATGTCAGCCATTCCTGGCCGCTCCCCTAAGCTTTGCCCCCACTTCCGACTTGGGACCAGCCAGAGAAGGCCAAACACGCCCCTGCCAGATCCCACTGGACGCCAGCTGGAAGCCCCTCCCCTGCCTGCCTGGGGTCCCCATCACGGCCAAGGCCTTCCCTTCTTTCCTGGCCGGGAGGGGTCTGTGTTTTAAGGCTGCTGATACCTGTGGCCAAATTCCCAGCATCTCGCTGGGCACCGGCTGTGTGGATTGGAAACCAGCGCAGGACGTTCCTTGGGAAGGAAACGCTGAAGCAGACACAGCCCGTTCTGCTCACAAGAACGCCCCCAAATGCCACGGCTGCCACCCAATGCCACGAATGCCACAGCTGCCACCGGCTGCCAAGGTGCCCAGTTTTTAAAGGTAAAAATTCTACTTGTAAAACGAGAGATGGAAACCTTCCATTTTTCTAAAACGAACCCCAGAACTATATGCTTATGGACATACGTCTGGAAGAGGGGGGGTCCCAGGGTAGACGTGGTTTCCGCAGAGAGCAGGCTGGGTGGGGAAGGGGAGGTTAACTTCGTTATTGTCTACGTGAAAATGAGCACGTTACTTCTGTCATTTAAAAACAACTGGACAACTGCCCCAGGAAGGCTTCTGCGCGGGTGCGCCCTGGCCGTCCCTCCCGCCTCGGCGAGGCCCACCTGGTCCCGCTCGATGGCCACCTCCTCCATCTGCTGCAGGATGGCCTCGATGCGCTCCTTGTACATCTTGGAGTCCTTGCGCAGGGCCAGGCACTGCAGCTCGAACATCTCCTTCTCCTCCATGCACTGCCGGAGACAGCGGCTCAGCCCCCATGCCCCCAAGGCCCCCGGGGTGTGCCCAGGGCGGGAGCTCGGAAACACTCGTGGTCAGGGAGGCTGCAGGAGCCCTGGGCCCCCGCCAGCCCTGTGCTTCCTGACTACGGCACCATGGGCCCAGGACTGGGCCCCCCAACGGGGGACACGGACAAGGAGCGGGCACCAGAGGGCGGGTGCCTCCAGGAACGGGGGAAGCAGAGGCGCGGAGCCCAGGCCCCAGCACCGCCCGCCTTCAGGGCACAGAGCGGGCACGGCAGCCACCCAGCCTGGCTGGGCCCCGTGCAGCGTCCACCTGCCCTGCCTGCGTACCCGGATGCGCAGGGCCTCGCCCTGGCGGAGGTCCTTGCGCAGGGAGAAGATGGTGCTGGCCTGCTCCTGCTGGTCGCGCAGCGCCTGCCGCCAGTCCTCCTCCAGCACCTGTATGTAGGGGCTGCTCCTGCCCAGCTTCCCCTCCTGCAGGGCAGAGGGCTGTGGTGCTGGGCGGCCCCCATGCCCTGCCGGCCCCGCCCGCTTGGCTCGCAGCCCCACCTGGACGGAGGCCTCCAGGCCCTGCAGCCGCGCCTGCAGCTGGGCCTTCTCCTGCTGCAGCTCCCAGAGCAGCTCCTGGCTGGGCCGCTGCTCCATGGCGTGCCTGAGCTTGAGCGTGTGCTTGCGCTCCACCGTGCAGTCGTCCTCCGCCTTCATGAGGCTGTGCTTGAGCCGGTCGATCTGTGGACGAGCCGTGAGCCCGGCCGGCCGCCCCTCTGCCTGCAGCCCCCCAGCCGGGCGAGCGGGGCACACCCTGCCTCCCGGAGCGCACCTCACCTCGAGCTGCAGGTCACGGTTCCGCATGAGCGCCGCGCCCTTCTCCTCGCTCTGGCGGGCCAGGCGCATGGCCAGGTCGTAGTTCTCGTCCTTGCAGCGCTTGAGCTCGCGGCTGCCGGCGTCGCACTCCTCCCTGAGCCGCTGCACGCGCTCCTGGTGCTTGCGCAGCAGGCTGTCCTTCACGCGCAGCTCCTCGATGAAGTCGTCCTTGGAGCGCAGCAGCACCGTCAGGTCTTGCACCTTCTTCTGCAGCTTCATCACCTCCGTCATCAGCAGCTGCGTCAGGCCCGACTCCCCGGACGCATCTGCGCGAGGCCAGCGTCAGGCGGCACCTGCGCCTTCGGCGGCCCTGCCTGCTCACGCCCGGGCCTTGGAAAGGCCAGCAGCTCACGGCTTCTGGGGACACCAGCCAGGCCGAGGGGACACAGCTGGCCCCCGCAGACAAGCTGAGCCCCGAAGAGGCCCTTCTCCCTCGGCGCCAGGGCTGCTCAGTGCTGGCGAAAGGACGCAGATTCTAACCCGCCTCCCGGGCCATGCCCCCGGCCACGGGGCAGCCAGCACCAGGCCGTCGTCCCCTGTTTGTCTCATGTGATGATGGGTCTTAACGAAAGATGGGACTGATCCCCCGCCAGGAAAGCATCCTTCGGCGGCTGGACCCACAGGACACGGCCCCTCAGCAGCAGGGGTGTGGCTGGGGGCAGGGCTGTGGGGGCCACACCCTCATCTGGGTGAGCATCGAGGGCCACAAGGGGCTTCCCACCCCCGCTGCTCCCCCTCCAGAGGCCCGTGGGACCCCAGCCTGGCAGGGAGCTCTGACCCGGACAGCAGACAGGGCAGGATCTGGGGACAGGAGTGGGTGCGGCCATGGGATCGCCCACCCGCCCACGCGGCCCACGCCCTTTTCTTCATCCCAGCAGAGCGGGTGGGGCCTCACCGATGATCATGGAGAAGACGCGGGCGGGCTCCTTGCCCGTGACCTTCTTGTACAGCTGCGGGTAGTACAGCTCCAGGCTCTCCAGGAAGGCCACGTAGCCCTTGTGGCCGGTGCGCTGCAGGATGTCCAGGAGCACGCCTGCGGGCCCCGAGGCCGGGCTGGGACTCAGGGGCGTGCTCTGGGCAGAGGACAGCGGGCTGCGGGTGTCCCGCCTCCCACCCCGCACTGTGGTGGGGCCTGGGTGAGGCGGCGGCTGCACCACCCCTCCTCTGGGCAGCACCTGCTGACAGGAGCGGGCTGGGGGGGCAGGGCTCCCCCTCAGGGTCGGGCTTACGGGGGCCGGGACGAAGCTGGCAGGGCCCGCCTCGGGTGGGTCAGGGACGCAGCCGCCTCCGCGGTGGCTCCTGGCTGGGTTTGGGGGCTGGAGGGCCCGCCGGCCACGGCAGCAGGGCACCGACCTGCCTTCCGCTTGCGGATGACCAGGCTGGGGTCGCTGAGCACCTGCTCCTCGTCGTCGGGGTTCAGGACCTTGCACTGCCGCAGGTAGGGCGTGATGCGCGAGGGGTCAATGACCGAGGTGAGCATCACCCGGAAGCCCTCCAGGGCCGTCCAGCACTCGTCGTCGTTTTCGTAGTCCGACATGGCCTCGCGGGGGGCGGCTGGGGTGGGGAGGGCAGCCGAGGGTCGCCACCTCCTCTTCCCACCCAGGCCTGGAACCTGCTCCCGGAGCGGCGTCCACACTGGGACCCAGCCTGCGGGGCCCTTCCCGAGCCCCGCTCCTGCCCTCTGCCACCACGTCACTGCACACGCTGGGGGAGGCACGGGGGGGTCTGAGAGGACACTCCCCTGTACGGTGACCCTCCTCTGGCCTCTGCCCCTGGACACCCCCAAATTGCACTGAGCCTGGAGGGGCAGCCGCTTCCCACCCATGGAGGGGGGTGCAGCTGTTTGCACCTGGGGGCTGCCCTGCCTGGCACCATGTCCTTGTGCAGCCCCGGGGAGGTGGGTCCAGCCCTGGCCAGCCAGCGGCGTGTAACCCTCCCACCTCCGCGGCAGCCGGCCGGAGGGAGCCGTCTGTGCGGGACTTCCTCATCGCTCAGCGCCACTCGCCGCCCAGGCCTGCGCCCTCCTTCCTGCAGCAGCTGCTACTGCAGCCGAGCCCACCCAGCTCTCAGCAGCTGCTTGTCACCGTGCCATCCAGGAAGAGTGACGGAGGCCTGCCCACAGGAGTGGGTCTGTCACCCCTGCCAGGCCCGGGCACCAGGGAGGGGCTGGCGATGTGGCCCATGGCTGCTCGGGGGTCCTTGGGTGCTGGGCACTGGTGGCTTCCAGGACTCTTCACCCCAGATGAGGCCTGGCCCCGAGACACACCCTCGAGGTGGCCAGGCCAGCTCTCTGGGACCCCCCCCCCCAGCTGTCCTCTCCGCCAGCTGGAAGATGCCCTCCCAGGACTGGGCAGGACGCAGCACTTCAGAAGGCCTCCAGCCCCCGGACACGCTGGTGTCCAGCCCAAGGGGCTAGATCACTGCTCCTGGAGACACGGTTGCAGCAGGCTGGGTCTTTGGAGAAATTTCTCAACTTCCTGCTGTGCTGTCATCCACGCAGCCCAGCGACAGGAGGGACTGCCTACCAACCCCGTGGCTCTGCGGGACATGGGCCCACTGCTGCCTTTCTAGCCCCAAATCCACTCGAGCCACGCCTGACTCCCACTGTTTGTGCCCCTGAAAGGAACACGTGTTCACAGTGGCTGCAACGGGCAGAACAGTGGAGGCCGCCTGGCCGACCGGTGGAAGCTTGGTGCTGCTCTGGGCTATTTGCTCCAGGGCCCCAAAAAAGAGCTGCCCCTGGTCTTCCCAGCCGACCAGCCTACCTCAGGGTCCTCTAGGGCCACCTGCTCCGCAGACACCAGTAGCCAGCAGTGCCCTCTGGGAGACAGCGCAGCTGGAGGAGGGAGGAGCCGTGAGGAACGAGGCGCACCCGTGCACTTCCTGGCGGTCTGGCGAGCTCCGCGGAGGCTGCCCGGCCTCCCCAGGGGCCAGTGCTTGTGGCCTGCCTTCCGATTCGCCCAGCCAGGGCAGCCCAGGAGGTGGGGCAAGGGAAGTGGAAGTCCTCCGTCCTCCAGAGGAAAGCTGCTAGGAGCCCTCCCGGCCTGTTGGTGCCCAGGGGTCCTGGGCCCTGGGGCCACCCTGGAGGCCCAGTCCTAGCACCCGGCAGGTGGAAGTGAGAGCAGAGGCCTCCTGTGGGCTGGAGAAGGCCAGACACAGCCTTCTGGGGGCTTCTCCACCGGGGGTGCTCTGTGCCTAACACCTGCGCCCTTGCCAGCGTCTTGGGGACAGTAGTGCAGGCTTGGGGCAGGCTGGCTGCGGCAGGCCCACAGGGCGCTGCAGGGGAGAGCTCAGCCAAGCCCGGCTCACACCCACACGATGTGGCCAGCACACGCTTGGGTCCCACAAGGGCCAGCAGCCCACCTCATGGCATCCCGGGGGCCATGGGCTCTGGCCACCATCCGGCTGGCACGCCTCGTCCCTCCCAGACGGGAGCGAGAAATGTCCTTTCCAGAAGCATCGCCCCTGACGCCCGCCATGGCATCCTCCTGGCTGGGCGTCTCCACTCTGTACCTCCCTCTCTACCAGGCCCCACAGGGGGACTTGGAGGCCACTTCTGGGACCCGGAGCCAGTTTCAGAAGGGCTGTTGGTGGCAGGGCATGTTCGTGGACAACGGCTGCAGAGTCCTCCGTGGACCCCAGGCTCTGGCACCCCGAACCTCGTCTCCGATGCAGTCTCGGAACCCCAAGCCTCGTCTCAGCTGGTACAGCCGGTTAACCGAGCTGCCGTCTGGCAGCTGCGAGAAGGTGCGGCTGGGCAGGAAGGGTAGGAAGCTGGCGCAGGGCTCACCTAACCGCTCCCTTCCCATCGCTGCTGGCCCTCAGCCCTCGGCCTCCCTCCTGCTGGCCTCTGCAGGACAGCCCCAACATCGCGCAGGGAGGAGCGGGCAGCTGGGTCCTCCTGGGCCCTTGAGGGAGTCCCATTCCAGGGGCTCATGCCCTGCCTGTGCCTCCTCCTCGGCAGCACGGGCGAGCGTGTGGGGTGAGAGCGGGGCCCTGGGGTTCCGCTGCTGCGCGGGCGCCCGGGTGTTAAGCCGACAGTTTCCCCGCGTGTGAAACGAAGATGACGGTGTCTTCCTCGTGGTGTTTGTCATTAACAATTAATAAAAATGCCACATTCTCTGATCGTAACACAATTGAGTTAGAAATCAGTGACCGGTATCTGGAAAATTCCCAAGTATTTGGAAATTAAATAACAAACCTCTGAGTCGCCCACAGGTCCGCAGAAGTTGCATGGAAGCCAGGAATGAGCTCGTAGGGCGCTGGCACAAGGTGGGATGTGCCGTCTGCGGGTTTGGGGCAGACGGGTTGCCCATGGCGGTTACTGTGAGATGAAGCCCATGGGAGAGCCGAGGGCCTGGGGGCATCGTCACCACAGAGGGACGCAGGACATGCGGTGGGACAGAGCTGCAGCTGGGGCCTGCTCTCGGGCCACGCAAGCCCGTGCAAGAGGGAGGGAGCCACTGCCGTGACTGTGGGCAGCCGGGTGGCTGCTGGTCCCAGGGAAGCCGCCGGGGTCAGCCTGGGAGGCACGAGGGTGGCAGCTGCCTGGAGAGGGCACAGTCTCCGCCTGAAGGCCGGAGCCACAGACGCTGTCCACGAGGGCAAGAACCTGCTCCTCTGTCCCCTCCCCAGTGCCCTCGTGCACGCTGAGGCTCAGGGCCGTGGGCTCGTGGGCCACAAGGCAGCCCCCGGGCACAGGAGACTGCTGGGACCCCGGTGGCTGGTCCAGCGGCGCCAGGAGGAAGCTCCCTGTACGTGCTCATCATCTCAAGACAACAAAACCATGCCTGTGTCTTGCTTTTTAATTAAAAAAAAATAGAACTTTATTCCTTCAAATGCTCAGGTTTGCACTTGGGGACCAGCTAAGCCCGTGATGACACGGTCCGTTTGAGGGCCTCCCCCACCCACTGCAGACAGAGGTCCGGCACCGGGCAGCAGCTCCCCTGGCCTCCAGTGCTTTCTCCTGCAGGGCAGGAGGGGGCCCTGCCTCTCCTCAGCTGCAGCTGTAGCTTTTGGGGTGTCCTTGTCCTGGAGCATGAACATCCTGCTGTGGGCCCCAGGCACACCCAGCCAGACCCCACGGGCAGAGCTGTGAGGAACAGGGACCAAGGCTGGCACTGTGCAACTGTCTACCCGTCCCCATCTCTGATGGCCCGTGAGGCAGGGCCATGCTTGGGCACAGGAGCCCAAGGATGGGCTGCACAGGAGGCCGACTGGATGGTCCCAGACAGCCCTCGCGGCCCCCGCCCCGGCCCCTCCCGCATGTGCTTTCTCCTGGCTGCGGGGTGGGGGGTGGGGGATGGGGCCCACCTCCCCCACCTGCTGCTCATAGCAGCCGCCTGCGCTTCCGGGCATGCCGAGCACGCCGGGTCCTGAGCACGTCCAGGTCGGGGTCAAGGTCGGGAGAGGCATCGAGACAGGAAGGGGCAGAGCCCTCGCCAGGGCCGGGGGCTCCCTGCAACACAAAACCCAGGCAGGGGACACGAGTCACCCCCAGCCACAGCTGGCGGGAACAGGCGGGAGTGCGAAGAGGGCCCCTGAGGGACCTGCATGGGACAGGGTGCCAGCTGCTCCAGGCCCTCCTAGAGCGACGCGTGGCTCTGGCTTCCCGCTGCCAGCCCCCTGCCCCAGAGGAGGGCTGTGAGGTCCCAGGCATGGCTGGGGGGCCGCACACGGGTGTGGGCCCTTGCTTCAGCCCAGACTCCCGGGGGTGGAGGCAGCGGCCTCGGGAAGGGAGGCAGACATGCCCCCGCTGCCTGCCCCACGTGTGCGCCCAGGGCGGGTCGGAGCTGCTCCGGGGCTTTCTCAGGGAAAGCCGCCACGGCCCGACGCCAGCCCCAGGCTGCTGCAAGTGGCAACGGGGGAAGGGGCCTTGCAGGGGGATGGATCCCTGGGTGCAGCTGGAGGACCCAGGGTCACAGTCCCACACGCCTTCCACTTCAGGGTTTCCGCTGGGACATAAGGAAAGTGGTTTTACGTACAGAGCTGAGAAAACTCTCCCCACACGCAGTCAGGGAGGCGGCATCTGGGGACTCTTGTGCCCCGATAAGTGCTAAGGACACAGCTGCTGCCCTACGAGGGCGGCCCACCCTGCAGTGCACGTGTGTGCGGTGCGTGACCTGGGCCAGCGGGCCCCTCTCCGGGCGTTCCCCACACTGCCCAGAAGGGGAGGCACCTTCTGCACAGACGCCACACGCAATGGGGAGGGCTCGGCGCCCACTTCCTCGTCCCAAGGAACCCAGCTGCCCGCGACTTCTGCCTGTCCCCCACGCCGCTCTGGGCAGGCCAGACACGCCTGGGCAGGCGAGGGTGCCACCGGGGCCGCTGCGGGGAAGCGGAGCTGTGGCTGGAAGCCCGCCGTACCTGATCGGGGCTCCTGGCCGCTGTGGCGCCTGGCGGCCCGTGCCTGTCTGTGAGCTCTGGCTCTTCTAGGCCCTCGTCCTCACTCTCGGAGCCCGTGCCTGTGGCTACTGAGAGGGTGGTGGGGACGCCGCAGGGGGACAGGCTGGCCAGGAGCGCAGGGAAGGTGAAGGCTGCCAGGAACCGCGCCTTCAGCAGGAGGTAGGCGGGGTTGTCCCGGAGCTGCCCCCGCACCAGCCCGAGAGCGGCCTGCAGGGTTCCTGCCCAGGACTCAGCCTGGTCCCCGGCTTCCCTGCTGGCCACCAGGGAGGTGGCCTTGTGCTCCAAGGCCTTCTTGTGGAGCAGGAGGCCAGACAGTGCCCGCAGGCTGCACAGGGCAGGGGGCTGGTAGGGCAGCCGGCTCCCCAGGGGGGGCACACACACCCCACCCTGCCCCTGCAGCCACTCCTGTGTGGCCGCCTCACTCTCCTGGGAGAGCAGGCCCAGGGCCAGGGAGCCTTTCTCATGCCCAGGCTGAGGCCCCCTGGGCTCCCGTGTCCCTGAAAGGGGCCCCGGTGTCCCCCCTGGATCACTGCCCGGGCCAGCACCACCACAGGCAGGCAGTCGGCTGGGCTGCAGGGGCTCTGCGTCAAGGTGGTCAGCCTGGGGAGACGTCCTGGCCACACAGTCCACGTCACCATCGACTTCTGCAGGGCTTTGTGACGGGGGAGGTGCGGGAGCGGTCGAGGGGCCTGTCCTGGGGGAAGGGTCTGGTCCCACGTGCATGCTGGTCTGAGGCTGCCCAGGGCCCTGGGCTGCCCGAGTCTCAGCCAGGGGAGGCAGCAGAGTCACTGGCAGCCCTGTGGAGTCAGGGGTCCCTGCTGGCCTGGGAAAGCCCACCACAGCTGGCACAGACACAGGAAGCAGCCCTTGGGCCGTGAGCACCCAGGTGACAGGCAGAGGGACGTTGGCTGCCACGTGTGGCCCGCCCCTGTGTGTCAGGCTGAGGGGCTGGATGAGCGGCTGAGCAGGGCTGGGGGCCGCAGGGAGAAAGGGCAGCGCCTCTGGCAGGCCCTGCTTCCGGGACGTGGCAGGGACCTGAGACTGTCCGAGACTATTCAGGTGGCAGCTCCCGGTGACCTGGCCTGGGCCCAGGGTGGGGGGTCCAGATGCAGCCGCAAGGGGCAGGGTTTGTAGGGTGGAGGACCCCTCGTCCTTGGCTGAAGTCCCAGCCTCCTGCCAGGAGGCAGAAGTGCCCAGACTGGCAGCTGCGGGGCCCCTGGGCCCGGAGGCCGCTGTGTTTGAGACCGCAGGACCTGAAGCTTGGGGTCCGTGGGGGGCCGGCGCCAGAGCGGGCTGGAGGATCACAGGAGAGGAGAGCAGCAGCTGGGGCGCGAGCACCGTGGGGCCCTGGGCGGCCTTCCTGGCACGGGCCTCCCGAAGCCGCTTCTCCCGAAGCAGTTCTGACACTGTCTTGGGTTTGGGCCGAGGGCCACACGGAGCTGGTGGGGGCACTGGGGGTGGGGCACACTCTGCCCGGCGGCTGGCATTCTTTGCAGCTTTCTGAGTTGTCCCGTTGGGTAAGAGGCAGCCTGCAGGGAGGAGAGATCCCATAACTGAGCGTCTGAAGTCTGGAGCGTCTGTGTTGGGCAGCAGTTGGAATGTGGACACCGGGGGCCTGCCTCAGATCTCAGGGTACCCCAAACCCCAACACTCCGGTCACAGCCAGGGCAGTGGATGTTCCGGCCAGCCCAGCCCCTCAATCTTGAGCATTGTCAAGTCTGGGACTATGGGGTTGGCACTGCTGCTCCCCACGGCTCGCCTGAGAAAGCTGCGTCCCCTCGGGAGCTCAGGCCCTGCCCCACTCTGCTGGCCGGGGTGTGGGCAGACTGGTGGGTGCCAGCAGGATGGCCCTCACTCCAGGTGGCCCCTCTCATGCACCTAGGCCGGGGAGGCCACAGGGCCAGTAGGGGCAGCTGGGAGAACCAAACCCACCCAGCCGGGCTCTCATCCCTGCAGCAGGGGGTAAAATGAGACCCTGTCACCAGGGGCACGGGTCACCGGAGGCCGTGGTGCAGAGCCAGTGGTAGGTTGGAACTGCCCTACCACATCGAGGACAGAAGCAGCAGTACCTGGGGTGCTTGGGGCTCTCGAAGGCGCCTGAAAAAGGAGAGGAGCGTCAGTACCTCAAGTTCCTCCGTGTGCTCAGGCCACTTGTCCCCACTCCCACGCCACTCCTCGCCTCTAGCCCCGCAGGGGGACAAGGCCGCAAGTGCTGGAGCTGGCTCCCCACATGCCTCTGCAGGAGCTCAGTGGCCTTATGCCTCCCTCCCGACGCAGCGCCCGCCGTGGGCACCCTGGAAAGCGCTCATTCTGGGGTTGCAGCAGCATGGGGTTTGCAGGAGGAGGCAGGGGGCTGAGGGCCTGAGGCCCGGGGGCACCACAGAGCTGCATCTGGTCCTCAAACAAGGACACCGTTTTGTCGTCCCCCACCCCAGGTGACGGGGCTCTGGGGCGAGGCTTCTCACCAACTGAGCTCATGCCAAGTTCGGTCTCTGGGACAGAAAGGCAAGAACCGGACACCCCCAGCAGACAGCACCCACGGTTCCCGACCACTGCCCGGTGTGGCTGTGGGGAGACACGCTGGGCAAGTGGGACGCCTCAGTGTCGGTCTGACCTGCACCCACCTTGGACTCCCCCAGGACCTCTCAGGGCCGCGGGCCCTGCATGTGGGCTGTGTAGACCCTCCCTGGAGGAGCACAGCGGAGCCAGCTGGAGGGACCCATCCCTCCTGGGGGCCACACCACGCTGGGGAGGGCGGTGCTCACCCTCACTTCTCACCAAGTGCCACTACCTGCACAGGACGTGGAAGGGAGTCCTGAGTGCCAGCCTGCAGCAGCCCGGGTGGCTGGACCCTCCTCTCTCGAACCACCTCCATGCAGCCAGCAGTATCGATCTGGAACAGCTGAGGGGCACGGGGGTAGCAGAACCTCCCACCCTGCCCCCCCCAGATCCCCCAGGGCGGGACACCGGAGGCCAGCCCTGACCGCAGCTGCTCTCAGGAGACCCCAAACCGCAGAGGCCTTGGCGGGAGCTTGGGCAACCTGTGCGGCTGTGCCGGCCTCACCTGAACCCTCGGCCATCCCGTCCTGACTCGCACGTGGACTTAGGGCCTGGCTGCCACTGTGTCCTGGGCATCACGCCCCCATTCCTTCATTTACACCTGGTCCCTGGCCCCTCGCCCTTCCCAGGACACCCTTTAACCCGATGGTGGCAGTGAATGCTCAGCAGCCAGCAGCCCGTTCCACGTTAATTCGCCAACAGCTGTGAGCCTCGGACAGTAAGTTCTGAAGAATCAAGGACTTTAGATGATCGACTTTCAGGAGTGAACCTACTGTAAACTTCAAAGCTTCACACCCACGCAAGCAAAAAAAACCGACTTTGTTCAGGTGCTTACCTGGATGAACAGGGTGAACACCGGGGTGCTGGCCAGGCGGGCATGCTGCAGCTGCTTCCCGAGGCCATCAGCTGGGGGACAAGGGCACGAGTCCAAAGTGGCTCCAGCTCCCACGCTCCTCTCCCGGAGGCCCGAGAGCCCTCAGGAGTGGGTGCCAGGCAGGGTGGGAGCAACTCGGAACCGGCAGCACACGCCCACCACTGGACAGAGGGCAGGGCCCTCTGAGCCCTTCACCGCCCAAAGAACCTCAAATCCAGCCACCCGTGCTCGGCCAGGAAGAGCGGCCAGGGTCCTGACTGGCCGTCACCGAAGCCTTTGGGGACAGGTGCACCCACCCTCACCAAGGAACCTGGCCAGAGGGGTGGCCCATCCTAGAAGGCTCCCTGCTGAGGCCACTGCCCTAACTGACCGCCGTGCGCCAGCAGGACGCGTTGCCCGTCTCCACCCGCCAACCTCCCGGAGGCTCCCAAAGGAGCCGAGGCCAGTACCTCGGGTCTGCGCCGCAGCAGGTCTCCGGGGAGCCAGCGTGCAGGGCAGAATGACGTCGCCCACCCAAGGGGTCACAGCCAGTAGGAGCCTGCGGTCCAGGAGCCTCTGGTGCAGGGCATGTCTCCAGCGCCTCCGCCCATTCTGGAAGGTTCCGTGCCACAGCCGCCGCACGTGAGACTGGGCCACGCTGTCACCAGAGCTGGCCCCCAGGGGTGAGCTGGGCAGGGGCGGCTGCTTTAGCTTCTCCTTCTGCAGGGGGGAGAAGGCACATGGGCCTCCCGGCCAAGCCCAGCTCCCTGGAGTGACCCCTGCCCTGGTGGCCAGTGCGGGAGCCAGGAAGGGCCCCTGCTCCCCACTCCTTCAGTGCCGGGGGGAGGAATGCTCAGAGCAGAGGGGGGGTGCGCAGGTCCGGGCAGGGAGGGCACTGGGAGCCGCGGGCAGCATGCAGCAGGCCTTACCAGCGTGCGGCTGCGCGTGGCCGTGTTGGTCCTGAGCACCCTCAGCACGGTCTCCAGGGGCACCTTCAGCAGCCGGCTCCCATCCTGACAAAGGAACCGGTGAAGCCGGCGTGGGGGAGCCCCAGCGTGGGGCCTGCCGTGGACATCTCCTCCCCAGCCTCCGGAGCAGTGTGTGCCACGTGGCAGTGCCACTGCGGGAGGCGTGCAGTCCTCTGGCAGGGCCTCCCCCAGAGGAGAGAGGAGGCAGCCCCAGGACACCAGCAGGGGTCCCCCTGCCCCTAGTCAGGCCCTTGGGCTGATAGCAGGCCTCTCTCCAGTCGAGGCTCCCCGCAGGCCCCGTGGCACGTGAACTCTGCCCCACTGCCTCAGGGTCCACTGTCCCCTCCCGCAACTCCCAGGAAAGACCAGCCTGTTGGACTCACACTGCTACTCGGGACACAGCCAGAGCAGCGCTTGTGCCCACGCCTCAACACCCCGCGATCAACCAGGACAGGCAGACACACGCAACTGCCGAAGGCAGACCCCAGCAGGTGGGCAGGGCCCCTTCCAGGGAGGACCTCAGGGGATTCCTTCCCACAGCCGCCTCCTCCCTCCTTCTCTCCCCCTCCCCACCCCCTGGCTCGGGGATGAAACGTTTCAGAAATGCCTCCGAGTTCAAGTGCTCGTTCGGCCAAGCTGGGGAAGTGGAGGCCGGCCTCAACAGAGAAGGCTGCTGCCCCTGGGGACAGTTCTCCCAAACCAGCCAGAAGCAGAACATTCTGATGAGCAATGACGGGTGTCTCTCTCCATCTGGGCACCTGGCTGGTGGCCAGGCTGCCACACTGTCCCCGAGCACCAGCCCTGGTGACCACTGCGAGCACAGGGCACCCACTTCCTCCTTGCACCTATGCTGGGGCCTACCTTGAGGGCCAGCTCCTCGGAGCTTGCTGGGGGCACGTCCCTGGAGCGTGAGTCCTGGACACCCCGTGGGGCGGTGCCGTGGATGCTGGAGGGGGCCTGCGCCGGGCTCAGCTCCTCGCGGGTAGCCGACATGGTGGTGGAAGCTTCCTCTCTGCCGCCTTGGGCAGCACTGGGCCCCGTGGGAGGGCCGAGGGAGGCAGCGGGGCGTCCTGGCCGGCCTTCTGCCCCTCCTTTCCACCCCTGGCCGGTGCTCTGTCTGGCAGGAACCCAAAGATCCATGTCCGGCACCACATACTGCGGGGACAGCAGCTCTTTGCCACCCTCTTGCGCCTGCTCCAGTTCCGCCTCTGACTCCTCGCTGCTGCTGCTGCTGCTACTGCTGCTGCTGCTGCTGCCGCCGCCGCCACTGCTGGTGTCTCCCCCGCTGCTGCTCGAGCTGGAGCTCCACCGGACTCTGCGGCGGGGCTTCCGCCGCCTCCTCTGCAGACCCTGCCTCTTCTGAGGGGAAGAAAGGGCCACGTGGAGGCCTCAGCTATGCAGGTTCACTGAGGAGAGACAAGAGGCAGGCCGCCAGGCCGCCCTCCAGGGAGAGGCTGAGCAGGCACGCCTCTGGGGGTGGGTGGCAGCTCCCCGAGGAGGGCCTCCCTCTGCCCTTGACTGTCCGGAAGAAGAAACACCAGGGCCTGAAACCACACGTCCCTCCTCCCTCCCGCTCCCCCCCGGCCCTTACTGCCCAGTGGGCCCCACAGGTGATGGGACCTTCCGCCTGCCTGCAGGTAAAGCTCCAAGAACAAATGGATGCTCACCCCAATCATGACTTTCCACTTGCTCAGACACTGGGAGCCTGACCGATGGGGTAGTTCAGAAGCGATTTTTGCCCAGTGACCTGCAAAAGCAAAACCACATGGAAACTGCTTCATACAACAGCCTCTGATGGCACAAGGTCGTCAGCTCAGAGGGAGAGCCTGCTCCCAGGAGGGTGTGTTGTTTTCTGGAAGATTCGCCTTGGGCCTCCTGCGCACCTCACACTGCCCAGCTAGAAGCTGGGTCAGATACGCCGCTGCACCTGCAACTCTGCAGCCCGATTCTCCGTGGGTGATTCTCCTCAGCCCCTCAGGAGAGTTCTGGCAAATGAACACTCAAGAAGGAAAAATCACCCCACCTACATAACATGGCCCTTGCGCGTCTGCTGTACACCCGGCTTCTAGGCCAGATGTTGCCAGCGACCTGTGTTCTTTCAGACAGCACTGGCGGGAAGGCAGTCAGGGCATTGCGTGTACAGGACAGCTGGACAGTGAGACAGACGCCTAGTGCTCTGCATGTCCTGGAGCCTGGCAACCCCACAGCTAGGATGTACTCTAAGGAGACGTCATAAATACGAGCACAGATTTAGCTATAAAACACTCAGCTCGTTCCAGGCCCACAGCAGAAGATGGGAACAGAAGGTTGGCTGAATAACCTGCATGCCATCAAGACACGCGGCGCAGCCACTGCAGAGCGGCAGCAGGACAGAGTGTGTCCAGATGGGGCATGTTCACGCCAGACAGCATGGCTCGTGACACGCTGTCAGGTAAAAAGTAGTCAGTTACACGAGTCAATTTTTTAAAAGCTGCCTTTTCCTAGAGAGGACAGAGGAAGGAGAGGGGAGGTGTACGCCAGCTAACAGTGGTCATCTCTGGGCGATGCGCTCACGTTACTTTTCTTCTTTTTGTACGTCTGCACTTCTAAGTTTTCTACAACGAACTTGTACTAGTGGTAGTAAGGGGAAACCGCCGTCTGTCAAGACGAGGAAGAACGAGGCAGAAGAGAGTGGTCCACCGGGGGCCAGGGCAAACCCGGAGCCTCCAACGCTGTCTGCAAACCTGTAGCACGCACTCCAAGTGAGCAGACGCTGGAAGACCAAACATATCGACAACTCACCAACACCGTATTTTTCTATTAATTCAATTAACTGTTCTTCTTCTTTTAAATTCCAACGTCCCTTTTTCAAGCTGAAATGCAATCTTCTAAGATATCTGAAAGTGACATAGAAAACAAGGGGACATTTTAGATGCTGAGACACCTCCCACCGCTATCCTGGTTTCTGCAACCATTTCTTACATATGTCACAAAAATCACTAGCAATGAAAGAAAAATACAGATAAACCGAACTTCATCAAAATGTAAAACTTTGGTGTTTCAAAGGGAACCATCAAACAAGTGGAGAGAAAACACACAGGCTAGGCTGGTCGGAAGGTACAGAGTGATCTCACTTCCTGTTCGGTCAGTTACAGACTGAACTTCTGGTTCTCCCACCTTATCCCGTCTCACTTCTGTACTTGACTATTCTTAAAAAAAAAAAGAAAGAAAGGAAAAAAGAGAACGCACAGCCTGGTCTCTGGCCACGCCACCCTGCACACGCTGATCTCATCTATCTCAGGCGGGGCTTAGTGGGGTCGGGCTGGCTACTACTTGGAGGGGAGAAAACACAGAGCAGCAGAGAATATTTGCAGACCACACATCTGATAAGGGACTCGTGTCTGGAATCTGTAAAGAACTTGCGAGCCAATAAAAAAAACGAGCAGAGGATTTGAATAAACATTTTTCCAAAGAAAAATATATACGAACGGCAAACAAGCCCACGAAAAGATGCTTAACATCCTTAGTCACAGAGGAAAATGCAAATAAAGATCACCACGATACCACTTCACACCCGCTAGGATGGCCGTCGTCACAAAGAACAAGTATGGCGAGAATGTGGAAAACTGGAGCCCCGTGCGTCGCTAGTGGGAACACAAAGTGGCTCGACGCTTTGGAAAACTGTCTGACGCGAGCCGCCACCGCACCTGGCAACTCCGCTCCTCGGCTACACCTGAGCGAAACGGACGTGTGTGTCCACGGAAAAAATGGTATGTGAACACTCACGCTTCCAAGGTTCACCGTGTTGTACCAGAATTTGCAGAAATACAATATTTACTAGAATTTCACTTTTTTTAAGGCTGAATATTCCACTGTGCGGAAAGACAACATTTTATTCATTCATCTGTCCACAGACACTGGGGCTGTTTCCGTAGTTGGGCTGTTGTGAGTGACGCTGCCGTGGACGTTGCTGTGCAGACGCGTCTGGGCTCCCGCGTCCAGTTCTTTCGGGTTTTACACGTAGCAATTATCTTGGGTATCAGGCTACGTTTAACTTCTCGAGGAACCAGCCTACTGTTTTCCACAGCGGCTGCACCATTTTACATCCCCCTCAAAATGTACAAACGTTCCAGTTTCTCCACATCCTCACCCACATGCGTTGCTTTTCTTTTCTTTTTGTTTTTTGAGACAGGGTCTCACTCTCTTGCCCAGCCTGGAGTGCAGTGGTGTCATTTTTAATAGCTCACTGCAACCTCAAACTCCTGGGCTCAGATGATCCTCCTACCTCAGCCTCCCAAGTAGCTGGGACTACAGGTGTGTAGCACCACGCCTGGCTAACTTTTAAAGAAAATTTTTTTACAGATGGGGTCTTGCTATATTGCCCAGGTTGGTTTTGAACTCCTGGCCTCAAGCGATTCTCTCACCTCGGCCTTCAAAAGTGCTGGGATTACAGGTGTGAGCCACCACGCCTGGCCCCCACCCCCACTTTTTAATAGGTATCATCCCAATCTGTGTGTGGTTTTGACTTATACTTCGTAATGACTAACGATGTTGAGCATCTTTTGTGTGCTTATTGGACACTTGTTCTTTGGACATATGTTCTTTGCAGCAGTGTCTATTCAAGTACTTTGCCCACTTTTGAACTGAGCTGTTTTTGCTGTTGACTAGGGCTTCTTTTTCGGGTGATCGAAATGTTTTAAGACTGAGCTGTGGTGATGGCTGCACAGCTCAATGAATGCACTGGAAACCACCGGACCGCACACTGAATGAACCGTATGGTACGTGGATTTTATCTCAACAAAGCGGTTTTTTTTTTTTTGAGACAGAGTCTCACTGTGTTGCCTGGGCTAGAGTTAAGTGTCGTGGCGTCAGCCTAGCTCACAGCAACCCTATACTCCTGGGCTCAAGCGATCCTTCTGCCTCAGCGTCCCGAGTAGCTGGGACTACAGGCATGCGCCACCATGCCCGGCTAATTTTTTTCTATATATTTTTAGTTGTCCGATTAATTTCTTTCTATTTTTAGTAGAGACGGGGTCTCACTCTTGCTCAGGTTGGTTTCAACTCCCTCGGCCTTCCAGAGTGCTAGGATTACAGGCGTGAGCCACCGCGCCCGGCCAACAAAGCTGTTTTCAAAAAAGACAAGGAGGAAAGCAGGGAGGTGCGGCTGCCTGCCCAGGGACTGTGCCCGTCAGTGATCTGGGAGAATTTAGACACCATGGGTTAGGAAAACTGCTGACCAGGATGCCCTGTCTCTGGTGGAACCTGAGTCTTGTTCCTGGCAAACAAGGGACATAAATATGACATAAAAGTCTGGCTTGGAAAAACAGCTCACCCTGCTTCCCCAGTGAGTCAAGTCTGGCACACAGACCCCCCCGTGGGCCACACCCTCTTCCTACAAGCACATCAGTCCTGGTCACTGTCGCCTGGCCCACCTACGGCCTAGGTGAGAGCAAACCTCACACACATCCCAGCAAGCCCCACCCTCCCAGCGCTGCGCGACTCACCGATCTCGGCACTGGGCATCGCTCCTACCTGGCACCTCTTCCCGGATTTTAAACCAATCCTGCTCCCCATATTTGGCAACAGCTTGAAGCAGCTTCTGCAGGAAGGGCCAAGCACACGAATGGCATCTCTGAAGGCACAGCCGTAACCTCCCCACCCTGAACTCAGTCAAAGAAGGGAACCTCAGGGGAGCAGCAGCGCCTTAAGACAGCTCGGTAAATTCCCACAGGACAGTTCTCCTTGGGTCCCACAAACTCACAGCGTCTTCCTCTGGGGCCCAGTACCCTCTTTTCAGGTTGGGATCCAAGCTCTTGGTCCAGCGATAGATGAGCTGCATGGAGTCTCTCCCTTCCATGTAGTAGACAACTGTGGAGAGGGGCTGCGTGGGTGCCAGGACACCTGCACTCCACACAGGGGACACCAGGGACGGGGGCCCTCCTGGGGGCCGAGACACCCACTTCCGAGATGGGTCGTGTAGAAAAGAGTCACTCTGATCACCGAGAGTCAAACTGTGGAACCCCTGGGATACGTGACCCCTCGCACTTCCTGCTGCCCCTCCCGACTCTAAGAGCGAGTCGTCCCGCGACTCTGCGCTTCCACGCACGGGCCTCAGGCCTCCGGGGCCCTGCAACAGCCCGAGGGTCCCCTCAGGACGCGTCCCACAAGCTCACTTCTGCGGTAGGGGATGTGGCTCCCGACGCGCATCTCCTGCACCAGCTGGGTGAGCATGCGGTCCTCCTCCTCCGTCCACTCCCTGCGTCGCAGGGTGCCGTTGTGCCGCTGGAACGTCTGCAGGCACTGGAAGGCGCTGCGGCGGGTCTTCCCAAGGCCCAGACAAAGCAAAGGGGTCACTGGGCTGTGCCCTGTGTGCCGAGGCACATCCAGACCTGGCTCTGAGAGGCTCGGGGAAGAGGTGGGCCCCGAGCGCCCCACGGTAACACACGTCTGTGAACCTATGCTCTCCTCCCACCAGGCTCCCGCGGGGGCAGTGGAGACCACCAGCTCTTTCCGCTACAGGATCTACACGCACTCAGCTCTCCTGGGGCCCCTGGGCTCCGGATTGGGTCCCACCCAGTCCTTACCCCCAGCTCCTCTGCCACCTTCTGCCACTCCAGGTGGCCGTGCGAGGCTGCAATCACCTTCAGCCGCTCCACCTCCTCCCCACTCCACTCCTGCTTGTTGATGCTTGGGTGCTCAGAGTTTTGCCAGAACTTTCGGATCTCCTCCGCGCCACGGCCTCCTTCAAACTGCACCGACAGAGAAACTCAACCTTGCGGGGCTGCTGACCCCAGAGGCCCCCAGACAAAGCTCCAGGCCAAGCTATCGCTCCCTGCCAGCCGGTGGCTTCCACAGCCAGAAGTAATGGGAACCTCCATTCAGCTCACTGGGCCTCGCACTGCCAAAAATGCACATTTGGCTCCAAATGCGAAGCCAGGAGCCTTCGAGACGGTCCACCGCAGAAGAGACAGATGTGTGCATCAACAGGGGAGGGCGCCACGAAGCCACTCACTGCTCTTGGCTGCTGGACACGCACTTGACCAGAAGGGTCGTGAGGGATCAAGGAGCTGGGAGGGTGCGGCCTTACTGCCCAGTTCCAACCCACGCCCCAGCCCTGAGACAGTGCTGCTGTAGGCTGCCCGGGGCTCAGGCCGGCCCCAACTCACGTTAACGTTGGAGATCTTTTCCCAGTCATGGTTGTCCAGCCTGTTTCCCAGCAAAGCCTCTTCTGGGAGCTGGCTGGAGGAAGGGACCAAGGCACTGTGTCACGCCCAGCCTGTGGGCTCTCCCCGGGGCCCTCCCGGGGACCCTGTCTCACTTGATATCTCGGACTTCCTTCTCAGCTTCCCTGATCTGCTTGTCCAGGGCCTGCCTCTCGGGCTCACTGGAGACTCTGCTCTGCTTCTGCTGCAAGTACTCAAGCCTGCAAGGCAGAGCGGAGGCGAGAGCTGGGCACCGTGGTGCGCACTCCGCAGGGGCTGGGGCCCTGCTTCTCTGGGGCTGCGCTGGGCAGGGCTGGGCACTCCGCTCAACTCAGTGGTGCAGAGCTGCGACTCAGGTAGAATTCTGAGCCTGCGTTATCCTCCCTGCCTCGGCCTCCTCCCCCATAAAAGCAGCAGCAGCGCTCAGCTCTCCTGCTGTCACCAGGATCAGAACAGCTGCAGCAGTCTGCTGACCCAGGTGGCGACTACCTGCTCCCCCACGTGTCAGAGCCCGGCCCACACCCTTCCCGAGCATCGGCGTCCCAGCCCCAGCCCTATGCAGACACCCAACCTGTGCCCAGCAAGGGGGCCAGCAGCTGCTTTGTGAGCCTACAGTTGCTGGTGTAGTAAATAACCACTTCCTGGAACGGGCTAGGGGACCCAGCGCTCCCACAGCCTGAGGGACCCACTGTCACTGCTGCAAACCCTGACCATGCACATCAAGTCGCGAGGTGCGCATGAGCCCCTGGGACCCCCTGGCCTGGACACAGGCCTCTCGGTGCCCAGAGAGGCGGTCTGACCCCAGCTGCTTCCACCCTGAAGGCACCACCTCTGCCTCTAGCCCTCATGGCGCCGCACAGGAGCGGGGGGGACCCTGCTGTCCTGTCCAGGAGGGGCCAGGCCAGACCAGGCCCTGTTGCCCTCCCTCAGGGGCTGAGTCTCCTGGTGCCCAGCTCTGGGAGGCACCTGCGTCTCCTGTGTCTCTCACCGCCATCTTCCAGACCACAGCGCCCTCTGTTGAGTATTTACAAAAAGGCAGCTCCCTATGATGCATTTTGGGCACCTGACGTCACCCCATCAGCAAACGCATTAAGTGGGTTTCAGGGAGGGTTCCCATTTTCACAAGGGGAAACTGAGGCCCAGAGAAAAGAAGCTACCTGAGCCGCACAGCTCAACGCAACTGCGCAGCCTGGCCCTGCACTCCCGCTTGGCCACGATGCCGGCTGCCTCCTTCGGGGCAAGGAGCAGGAAGCTCAGGCACCGGCATCTCCCAGCGGCAGGGAGAGGGAGCGTGGCTAAGCTGCGCCTGTGCTGGGCCCACGCTGGCCAGCTGCGACTGTCCTGCCGCAGGGGAAGGCCGTCTTCTGACCTGTCGTGACTTACTTCAGTAACTTGGGCTGCAGCAAACGCTGCAGGCGGTCGCTCACCACGGACTTTCTGAGCAAGGCTTTTTCCCAGTTCTTCCCTGAGGAGAGATAACCATGACGTCATGGGAGGGTCTGGCGTGTCATGCACGTCGTTCCCTGAACCCTCTCCACAACCCGGGCGCCACTGTCAGCTCCCGCTTCCAGAGGCGGAGACGGATGCTTAAATGATGAGGGAGGGAGTTACCGTCTGATGCCCTCTGGGCACCGGTCCCACCCTAAGCCTGGCACAAGCTCCTGGCAGGGACTGCGGGGGCTGGGCACGCCGAGATGAGGCAGGGAGAGACAGGAGAGCGTGGGCTGGTGGCCCCAGCCTGCCCCTACCGACCGGCATCCTCGCAAGGACCCTGCTCAACTGGAAAAGGCCGGGGGTCAAGTGGCCAGTCCCAGTGGTCAAGGCCAGGTGCCCGGGAGGTCACAGCAGCGAGGTCTGAGAACCACGGCGCAGCCCTGGGAAGAGGCAGGGCTGTGGGGAAGCCCCCGTGTCCCAGAGCTCACTGGATGCCGAGGGCTTGGCCTGGGCTCTTACACTTGGTCACGAGGAGCTCTTCGAAAGCCTTGATGCCCTGGGCAGCCTTCTCCCGCGTCTCCTCGTTGGCAGGAGGCCCCTGTCAGAGCACACGGCAGCGCGACGTGAATATACCCGTGTGCTCACCTGAAGGACCCCAAACGTCCCTCCCGGGTCCACCCTAGGACTCAGGGCCCCTTCCCCACAGCCTCCTGGTGGGCAAGGGCAGACACTGGACCTCTGGACCCAGAGGTGCTGCCACGTGGGTGGCTGTGGGGCACGACCCAGCCGGCACGCGCAGGGCGGGCTCAGCGACTCCACGAAGGTTGACGGGGTCGGGGCTACTGCTGGAAACACTGGCGCCACACAGTGAGGCCTTGCTGGCCACCGTGGTGTCACTGCACAGGGAGCCGTGCCCTGAGTGGCCCCCCTGAAAGACAGGTCAGCTCACCATCCCAGGGAGGGAGGCCCCGACTTTCACCAGGGACGAGGCAGACAGTTCTGAGGTTGGAGTGTTCCCCTGAAGCCCCCAAGGGAACTCACAACCACCCAGCAGGCTGTGGGGACAAGAGCTTCGTCCCTCAGCCACTCACCACTCCGGTGACCTTGTCCTTGAAGTACGGCTTCATGAAGTGCCCTATGTACGCGTTTGGGGGCAGGCCCTTGCCGCCCCGCACCTTGGGGCCTTTGGGCCCGGCCAGATCCCGCGTGATCTCCTCCTGTGACACACACAAGGGCCCGCCTGTGGGCAGGGCAGCAGTGACACCCTCGTGCAGAAGGGGACCCTTTGGTGGAAGCGAGGCAGGCAGCCGGGGAGCCCCGGTCCCAGGAGCCTGGCTGTGAGGGTTCCTGGGGTCAGGAGGTGGTGGCACGAGGAGGGGCCGTCAACCCATCCTACCTGCTGCTCCCGGTTCTGGGCCAGCAGCAGGCTGACCTCTGCCAGCTTCTCACGGATGACCTCCTGGTAGACCATGTTCAGCTGCAGGCAGGTCTCTGGGTCTTCAGGGAGGGTTCTGTCCTTGGGGTCATCCTCATCGTTGCTGGCTTCACCCCACCTTTCTTCTTCCTGGTTGTGAGCCAGAAACTGCCCGTGAGCAGATGGGACATGGAACACACAGACATTCTCCTGCCCTCTCGGCCCCAGCCTGCGCCCACGCACCAGGCACTGGGCCCCTGGGACACTCAGGCAGCTCTGGCTTAAGACCACCCAAATGTGGAACCGAGAGATGACCCTGGTGGGCGGCAGGAGCAAGTTCACATCTGGGGTGGCGCCTGTCCCTCCCAGAGTCCCGTGTGTGCACGTTTCCTCATCCACAACGTGAGGGAGGCTGGGGCGGGGTCAGTGGGAGGAAACAAGCAGCTTTTAACCACTACGACAAGCGTTTCTGTACGAGCCTGTGCCGCCATCGCCAGGGAGCCGCGCTGCCATGATCTTGCTCGCGCAGTAAGATCACGGGGGTTGGGGGGAAGGACAAGGGCAATATACGTACCCTAAACATTTATACCCCCAAAATATGCTAAAAAAAAAAGATCATGGGCGAGCGACGGCCCCAGAGGGCCACCCCCGCCAGGGCAGTCGAGATGTCCATCTCAGCCAATGAGTCCCAAGCCACGGAGCTAAGTGAGTCCACACGAGGGGCAGCATGGCCACGGAACACGAGGCTGCTCTGAACCTACTGACTTGGTGGAAAATTAAGCAAATCGTAGTCTCCCAAAATAAACAAAAGGCAGCTAACAGTAACGGGCATACCCGAGCAGCTGCCAGGTGCTCTCGTATGTTAGCTGACTTGTGCTGTGACCGTCCCCATTGCCCCGGGGGACACTGAGGCACAGAGAGGCGAGCTGTGAGGGGCAGGGCCCAGGCACACACCTTGCTGCCCTCTGCATGAGACGGACTCTCTCACGAGATGCGTGCGTATCAACACGCGCGCAGGAAAAAGCCAAGAGGCTGCTAATAGCAGTTATTTCTGGAGACAACTTTATTATTTTTTTTGAAACAGAGTCTCACTCTGTTGCCAGGGCTAGAGTGCCGTGGCGTCAGACTAGCTCAAAACAACCTCGAACTCCTGGCCTCAAGTGATCCTCCTGCCTTAGCCTCCGGAGTAGCTGGGACTACAGGCATGCGCCACCATGCCCGGCTAATTTTTTTATATATATTTTTAGTTGTCCGATTAATTTCTTTCTATCTTTAGTAGAAACGGGGTCTCGCTCTTGCTCAGGCTGGTCTCGAACTCCTGAGCTCAAACGATCCACCCGCCTCGGCCTTCCAGAGTGCTGGGATTGCAGGGGTGAGCCACCGCGCCCGGCCTCTGGAGACAATTTTAACATCAACAATAAATACTCTGTGGTGTCTCTTTTTCTATCACACAGCCCCTCCCGGGCTACTTTGTAAGGTGGCAGCAGGTCTGACCCAGGACACAGCCAGGTCAGGCCAGCAGTTACCAAGATCGGGGGATCAGCGGCGTCCAACCCCTCACCAGGCAGCAAGTCTGTGGGAAACAAAAGCACACCGTGTTGGTGACCCAACACTGGAAGGGCACAAGGCGCAGCCCACCGCGGCTTCCTGGGCCATGCAGAAGAGAGAGGGGCCGAGGCCCCACCGGCTGGGAGGTGATGAACCTGAGTGAGACTTGCGGTGGACAGACCCTCGCTCCCTGACGGTGCGGGGCGCACACTTGAACTACAGAGTTCACTGGACGACACGTGCCGTCTTCTACCAGAGAGACGACGGGGAAGGCTTTGCAGCACCTGGCTGGATCCTGAGGGAGCTCAGCCAGTGAGGGGGAGGGCACAGATGCAGAGGCCCTGCCCACAGAAGACGAGGCAGAAGGTCGCCCCAGAGCCAGCCCTGGGCCCAGGGAGAGGTGGGCAGTGGGGGTGGGGGGCAGCTGTGGGCAGGTCTCTAGTCAGGGAAGCACCAGTCAGGGTCGGGGAGGCTCAGAGAGTGCATGGGGAGAGAGCGGGCCTCCACAGAAGAGTCCCTTTAGGAGGGGTCGCATGAGCCCAGCAACTCAACAAGAGATTCTGGGGGCATGAGTAGTGGTGACTGTGCAGACTGGCCCACCCCCTCCCAGAAGGGCACACTGCAGAAGCCCAGCATGCTCCCCCTGCTGGCCCCTAGAGCCCAAGGCTAGATGGCAGGACCCTTCCTCCCTGCCCCTTTCCAGGCAGCGGAGCAGGGCACTGCACATAGCCGGAGCGTCCAGAGCGTGACAAAGGAGGCACTGCTACGAGCCCTCGGGCTGGGGTAGAGGCAGAGACCAGTGTCGGCAAGAAACAGGGCCTAGGCCAAGCAGCCCCAGCACGTTTTACTTAACGTGGCTAAATACATCCAAGGGCAGACACAGATGTTCTTAGCTACGTTCCAAGGAGGCCAGGTGCACAGGAACTTACCTGTTTCAGAATCTGAATCAAGACTTGATTCGGAGACTTCCACGTGGATACTTGAGGAGCTGGGGTCCAAAATCCTTTCCAGCTCCTTGATCTCCTGTGTTATTTTCTCTCTTTCAGCATCTATATCCATGACTTCCACCTGCCTCCAAAATACATTATGAGATGTTAGAAACCAAGGGTGTGCCACAATCTCATTCTCCTTCAGACATACATGCCTGCAGAGGATGGCAGAAGCCTGCTCCAAAGCAGGTGCCCGAATCTGGAGGGAGATTTGGACTCAGGCCCAGCCTGGGCTGCACCCTTGCACCCTCCTGCACCCCACGAACACCTGCTCTGTGCTCTACCAGGTGCCAAAGCCCCGTGAATGTCTCTTGCCTGCTCTGCGGCCACCACCACATAGGTGGAGTAGATGGACACTGATATGGCCCAACTGCCTGGTCTCTGCTCCCACACCCACAGTACGAGGGAGCTGGTCGCCCAGTGCAGAAAGTGCAAGGTGCAGGGGCAAAGCCCCTAGAGGACAAGGATGAGGCCCATGGCCCCTGTGAAATCTGAACTTATGACCACAGCTTCAGGTGCATCCTGCTCTCCATGGCACAGAGCTGGACCCGTAGAGAGCATTTGAAAAATGTCCACTGAAACACAGACTGACCAAGTGACAGTCACTAACAGCACTGGGAAGTAAGCTCCCCACAGGCAAAGCTTTCTGTCTGTTCGCTGCTGTATCTTCAGCATCTAGAGCAGCACCTGGCACGTGGCAGTGTCTGGCTCAACAAGCAGAAGCAGACATAAAGCTTTTTTCTTAGCAACACTGGTCTCGGAAGTCTCAAGGTGGAAGAAGCTGGGGAGAGAGAAGGGTGGGAGAACAAGGCATTAGCAGAGAAGATTCCAAAGAAACACAAGCACAGGTCCAGGAGGAACAAAGAGAAGCATCCTCCCCTGCTCTTGGCATGAGCTCTCCCTGCTGGAGACTCTGGCAGAGCCGCAACTGCATCAGAACAAAAGCACCCACCAACGAGCACCCGTCAGCAGCCCCGGCAGCCCATGCCCCTCATTCCTGCTCTGGATGCATCGTTTATACTTGAAATGTTTCTAACCCTGCTAACCAAACTCAGCTAAAAGCCAGCAACATCTACAAAACCACTAGCAGGTTGAAAGCTGCCATTTCCTCCAGGCAGGGGAGGGAGGGGATGTTTTCTTATGGAAGCCTCGCCTTGAAGGAAAAGGCAACTTGTGTTTTGAAGACAAACTCATTTTCACCTCCCTCCTCCACCCCCTTCCCGTGTTGCTCACAAGTGATGAACAGCAGGAAGGAGGTCAGAGCCACAGTTCAAGTCCTGAGCCTTCTGCCTGCAGCCCTCCCTGCCGGTGGGTGTTCATGAGGGGCTGCCCAAGATGGTGGGCAGAAGACACTCCAGCCCCAGATTCTGAGACCCTGCCCAGACCTCACGGCTGGCCCGAGCGAACCGAAGAAAGCCGTCAGTACGGGGCGGGGGCGGGGGTGTTAAAGGCGCTGGCTGGGGAGACACACCCGGCCCAAGCCCCGTTCTGCCTCTTGCTAGCTGTGGGGCCTCGGGCAATCACCTGCCTCCTAGAGCTTCAGCTGCCACGTCTGTAAAATGGGGTGAGGAGTCGCCGGCACAATCCCCGAAAAGCACTTAGTGCAGGACCTGGCGCACGCGGGCGCCCTACAGCCGGGGCCCCGCGGACAGTGAGGACGGCGGGAGGGAGGGGCGGCTGTCTCCGTGGAACCTCCGGGAGTCGCGGCCTGCGCCCCTGCGCCGCCTCCTGCAGCCCGTTTCCAGCCGAGGGTCCCTCCGGGCCAGAATCCCCACGGGCTTGTGCCTCCGGGTCTCCCCAGCCCGGCAGGATCGCGGCTACGCCGGGCCTCAGTTTCCCTGTCTTTCGGCGCTGCCCCGCCCCCTCCCCGGGCCTCGGCTGTCCGCTCCTGGGGACCGCGCCCCGTGGCTGCCGGCCCCGCCCAGCAACTCACCTGCTCCGCACGGACCTCACCTTCGCGCGCGGCCAGCACCGTCGCCCGGGAGACCGCAGACACGAAGCTTCCGGCGGCCGCGGGACTGGAGCGCCACGCACCGGAAGTTCCGCCTCCTGAGGCGCGGGGCACGCCGGGACGCCGCTGCGGCCCGCGGGAACCATAGAGAGGCGGGGACCATAGAGAGGCGGGCTGCTCGGTGCTGCCCTCGCGTGGCCGCCCTGAGGACCGCCTCCCGCGTCCCGGGCAGGAGACCGGCTGGGACCGGCACAGACACCAGCCACTCACTGCCCGGCACGGCCCGCCTGGTCGCCCGGTCACGATCCGGCTCCCACGAAGCCCGGCGAGGCAGGGCGGTTTGGGCGAGTTCTCGCCGGCTGTGTGACTTTCGGCAGCCCCTGGCCTCTCCGTGCCTGTTTCATCTTGTCAATTGCATCTTAGAGTCTGGTCGCGCAACCAACGCGAAAGCGCAGAGTGCTCAGTACCGCCCCAGGCCAGACCGGGTCTCGCGGCAGGTGCACGGGACTGAGCACCAGCCGAGTCAGAGGGTGGGGAACCCCACGCAGAACTCACCCACTGTGGGCCTTTAGGATGTCCCAGCCTGGAGAGCTGCCCCAGGGAGCTACCCTAAGTGGGCATTCATTCATTCAGGAACATTCCGGGGTTGACTCTGAGCCAGGGGCTGGACAAGAGCCTGCCTTGTGAGGGCCTGTGAAGGTTCGAGGCACTTCGGGCCCCCAGCAGGGCCTGGGAAGAGTTGAGGGAGAGTCAGCTGGAGAACCGTAAGGGGTGGGCTTTTGGCGGCAGAGGGCTAGAGCCAGGTGAGGCCAAGCTGGGAGTTCGGTATTGGTGCGAAAGCAGAATTGAGAAGACGGAACCGTAAAGCTGCTGGCCCCTCAGTGCTCACGGAGCACCTCCCGTTTCACTCCCTGAACTGTGAAGGGACTTGTCCTCACGGGGCACGAAACCCAGAGGCAGACATTAAATACAGCACTGTGATTTTTATTTTTAAGCTTTTTACTATGAAACACTTCAAACACATGAGGAAGAACAGCACATGAGGAAGAACAGCACAGCAGCACAGCGAAAGGCTGCATACCCAGCCAGACTCCACCCGGCTTGCCAGCCGGGGTGTAGGACCCAGGGTAGATGCAATGTCTGAAGGTGGCTCTGGTGGCCACCCTGGCCATCTGGCATGTCCTCCCACCCCACAAAGTGCCGTCTCTCCTGAGAGCCTCGGAACACGTCTGCAGCTCAAGCAGCCTCCCCAGAAGTCTCAGTACTATCCCGTATGCCAAGAAGAGAACCTCATTCCAGCACTTTCCTATACCACTTTCCATACCACTCTGCCTGCACTCTGTCCTGTCAACAGAATCCAGACCTACTTTCACCAACAGGCAGGAGTGTGAGGTGCTGCATGGGCGTAGGCCTGAAGGCACATTCAGTGGTGACTCTGGAAAGCTCTGACCTCTACCTGCAGCTAAGGCCATAAGGTCCGGCAGTTTAAACATCTTGCTTGGAAATTTAACCACATTATCTCAAAGAATGATCTGATGCTAGAATCCAATCTGTCCGACTCCAAAACGTGCAGCTGTGGGATTCACAGATCTGTAACATGTTAGTCACTGTGGTCAGGCCCGGGCAGCAGTAGTCTGAGTCTGTCCCTGACCCCAAAGGCCAAGGACCTGAGGAAATTAATCTTCCAGCACAAATCACCAGTTAAGACAAGAACAAAACAGGATGCAGGCCCTAGTGTTGGAAGGCAGCTTGATTCCTGAGCATCAAGAGTTGGCTAAAATCAGAATAAAATAGGCAGTACATATGAACTTCAGAATTTATTTAAATAAGGAAGCTATCGATCTGAACAGGAGGGAAAAGAAAATTTATTTAAAAAAATAACATCCACAAGAAAATAGCCAAAAAGGCGGGCAGTGCACACCCACTCTTCCCTGTGCAGGAGAGGGATCGGAAAGGTAGTTTGGAAGATCTCACACTGACCCAGGAAGGTTCCGAACACACCTTAAATTCCTGAATTCTCAACTTCATTGTACAAAATGCCACTTTAAATGTGTATCAAAACCCCCAGCCCAAAAGTTTTTCAGATCTGAAAGCTCATAGGGGTGTGTTCAAACAGCTTCAGCACGGAATGTGCAACCTTGGTCCCTGGAGGCCTGGCGGGAAGACAGCAGCACCCAGGAAGCGGCACATCACTCAGGCCGCCAACTGCAGAAACCACCGCAGGAAGGCCGCGTGAGTGAACTGGGAGCCAGAGGGGCCCTGAGTAATGGTGAAAAGGCACAAGTCCCTGCCCAAGCCCATCTTTCTGTGACGGCTCATTTAGTGTTCTTTCTACTTACGACATCAGGGCCGATCACATGAACTTCTCTTACCATTTTTTTAGACGATAATGGAAAACACTTATTACAGAATTGCTGTTTTCATGTCTAGCAATTAAAAAAATAAGCACTGGCTTTTATAAAGATTCCTTCCAATAGGTCATCAGAGTCTATAAAATAGCAGGAATTTCACCAAGGAGGACTGCATGTAAACTGCAGCTTGGACTCCCAGATAGGATCGGCTCCTAGGCGAGTGGCCAGTAATACTGCTCTAGGTCATGAAATTAGTATCTCATGATAAATACTTTACTCTGGGTGGAGACCGCACAGTTAAAGACACAACTGCACATTCAGACGAAGTGGGAGTGACCTCAGGATGTGCACGGAGCTTCCAGCTGACAGTGTCGCGGAGCTTCTCAAGGGTCCTCCTCCTCGTCTTTAATTTCAGAAATTCGGTCTATGGATTTAAGGATCTCGGCAACAAGATGCAACGTTTCGGCTCCGGAAACCAGCTGCCTAAAATGAAAATACAGATGTTGGAAACAGCTACTACTACTGCTTAACAGCAACAACAGAAGCACGAAAGTAAAGGAATTTCAGAGTGAAAACCAGACTTTTAATGTCTCAGATCCGCTCTGAGGAGACTCTCACGCCTGACTTGCTTGACTTCACAGAACAGGCTTTGCTGTCTGCGGGATGTGCTCACGGGGTGGCTGGCACAGCCGCCCTGCAGAGCTCAGCCCTGTGGGAGGCAATCACTGCTGTTCGGTGACAGCAGATGACGTGTCTCAGGGGTGCTGTCACAAGCACTGCACTGAGGGCCTTCGGTGAATTCATCTTTTTACGACAGGAGGAAAACTACTTTCTTTATTAGGAATTTTAGTGTCTTGCAGGTGAAGGAGCGGGGATTCAAATCTGTGTGACGCTGACATCCACACCTCCCAGGTGCCAACAGTCACTATGAGGCGGGTTAAGAAGAGCCCTGGTCTGTCCACATCACGACCTGGAGGGGACAGGACCATTTAACCCACGTCCATCCTAGGTCTGTGGCCATGGTTCCACCAGAGTCTGGGGCCCCACCCGGAGAGCTGATGGCCATTCCACTCTCACCCTCACTTGGCCCGGGCTTTCCCAGCCCCACAAGGCGCTCACTTTATGGAAGCCTGCGCGCTGTTCATGACGGCACGGAGGTTCTGCAAGGCCACATCGGTGTTCTGCTTCACCACAGTCAGGCTGGCGCCTTGGCCCGACCGCAGGGCTTCGTTCTCACGTTTGAAGTTGGAGACCTGCGCCTGGGGTGGGGGTGGGGGCGTTTATGGCTGAGCAGAGAGCGCCTGTAAGGCAATCCAGCTGAAACCAGTGTGCCATCCCAGAGAGGCGTGGACTTGCTCGCAGGGGCCCGGCCTACTCACGCCAGGTGCTCTTGCCTCGCTAGGGAGCCTCCTAAGGGAAACAGGCCTAACACCTTCCGCTTAAGTCCACCATGTACGCAGCACCTGGCTCCACCCCAGCCTAGACACCAGACACCCGGAAGAACTCCACGACCTCCCTTTATTTAAGGCCCCTGATAGAAACTGGTGCTGTACTAAGTCTAAGTCCTTTATCTGCTCAGGGCACAGGGTGAACCCCAGCAGAGGGTCTTTCACATCTTTTTTCTTAACACAGTAACTGCCATGTGAGTTGTATTTGACTCATGCTAGTTTTGAGCCCAGGGCCTCGTGAAGCATACGTAACTCACTCATCTCTTCACCTTGGGAGCCACGAGAACTACTTTTCAAGTGGCATATAACTCATGCACAGGAAACAATAAAAATGAATTTCTCATTAAATTAGAAGGGATGGTTTTGTTTTCAAAGTTTGTGTTCTATTTTCCTAATAAAACACCATGGCCCAAGGAAAAATTTTTTGCCAGTGTGGCAGTCAGTGTGTTAAATCCATGTATATGTGACTCTACCCATCAAAGGAAAATGTGCAGGATTTCCCCTAATTACCTGGAGCAAATTTATTTCCTGCTTCAGTTTCATGACGTGATTTTCTGCTTTTACAGCCCGTTTCTGTTACCCAAAAAATAAACACAAAAAGCATCACTGATGTCCTCATGTCCACACAGCACACCTGCCCTGACACAGGCAGCAGGGAGCCACAGACCACCCTCTGTGGTCTCCACCCTTCCCATGGGGCTCGTCCCACAGAAGCTGTGCTTGGCCCTCTGCTCACTGATGGCCTCTGGGGTCATCTAGGCCCTGGAAGAGCGTGACCACAGTGCCAAGGTCTGCCTGAGCGCATCATGCCTCACGCTCCCGCGGGCACACTGCCGGCTCTAACGCGCTAGCCGCAGCTCTCGCTCCAGAGGAGCGTCCTGCGCCACCCAGCCCCTAGTGCGGAGAAACGTGGCCCCATACTGTCATGAGCTCCAAGTTCTGCTCCACCTGCTGAACCACCGACTCCAGGTCATGGAAGTCACTCTCCTCCTTGATCATTTTTGCTTCTAATTTCCGCTCAAGTGTCCTCACCCTTGTTAAAGAAAAACCCGAGTGGTTAATAATTCATGTGGCTAATTTTAAGAATGCTTTTAAAAGATATTTTCATTTGAATAGCTGGATAAAAGCCACCAAGAGCCCAAGAGAGAATGAGCCTCAGGTACAGACGCCAGGCAGCGGTGACCGCAGGGGTGGACCCCGTGGTGCTGACGCAGGGCTAGAGAGGAGGGGGCCGGCTCACAGCTCCGCAGCTCCAATAAGGACTTTGGTCTAATGTCTAAAATAAACTTTTACACAGAACACAAGAACTGTGTTGACACTGAAGATTTGCATACAATAAAACCCAGACTCAGTTCAACTTGGATTAGTTCATTATCATTTAAAAATCGACTTCCTTGAGTGTTAGAAGTTTTACATTCCTAACTAAAAGCTTACATACATTTCTGTTTGAGTTTCAGAGAAGCTCTGAACCTCATTCAGCTTTCTTCTTAGCTTAGAATTTTCATCTTTCAGCTGTAGAGAAAGAAAATCCTTATTAGAAACTCAGTATGTCTCACTCAAAAGGGGTACGTTCTTCTACAATCTGTAGATCTTCTCGAGAAACAGAAGTATTCAGGTCGGTGGAGACTCAACCTGCAGTGCACTCGCGAAGACCATGAATAAAGGTGCCCACTTTTTACAGACCTGTGGTCACAGACTCCAATTCTACTCAAAGCTTGTTAACTTTTTTTAAGTGACTATAATTTCTTTAAAATTTTCCCTCATGGTACTTTTTAGCCAGTTATATGCACGTATGTGACCAAAGTTAAAGGGAAAGGGAAGCCATGTAGCAGGCTGTTGCACAACAAACGGTCTCGTCCTTGGCACCAAATCCTAGGCCACCCAGCAAGCAGGGTGGCTCCAGTTCCCTCCAGGAGAGCCCTGTTCAGACTGGTGCTTCGTGCCAGGAACCAATGCAAGCCCCTCACTTACTGCCTCGTAACTTATCTGCAGCGTCCGCAAGTGCCGGTCTCCCAGAGACTCTCCGTGAGCCGCAAAGTCTACACTAGGACTCCCCACTGGAGATGCCGGAGACACACGAGAGTCAGTGTCACTCAATGTCCATGAAGGCAGAGACTTGGGCCCCACCAGCTCCGATGGGGTGGAAAAAAATGAAAGGTATGTGCCACAGGGCGATGTGCTGGCAGTGACCCTTGCAGAGTGCATCTGCTCCATGGCGGACGGCAGATAGGCCCCAGTCCAACCGTCATCCTCATCCTCTTCCTCGTCCAGGAGGTCGCCAGCCCCTGTTGGGTCTTCGAAAAACGGCTGCTGATATTCCAGGCCATACCCCATGGGCTGGGAGGTTGGGGAGTTGTGGTCGAGTCCCTGTGAGTGCCTCGAGGCTTCCTAAAAAAAAACAGTGGAGCAAAGCTGCTGACTCAGCCTGCACGGTGGCTCACAGCTGTAATCCTAGCAATCTGGAAGGCTGAGGTGGGAGGACCACTTGAGCCCAGGAGTTTGATAGCGACTTGAGCAACATGGCGACACCCTGTCTCGACAAAATATAGAAAAATTAGCCAGGCGCGGTGGCACGTGCCTGTAGTCCCAGCTACTTGGGAGGCTGAGGCAGAAGGATCACTTGATCCCAAGAGTCTGAGGTTGCAGAGACTACAATGACACCACTGCATCTTAGCCCAGGCAATAGACCGAGACCCTGTCTCAAAAAAACCCCCCAAAACAACAAAAAAATCCTGCCAATCCAGAAGCCACCTTGTGCCTTTCTTTCCCTGTGTTCAACCTTGGAGCACAGAGAAAGACCCTATCTTGTCTACCAGAAGGATCCAAATAGCTTCTCAACCCTGAAAAACTTCTCCAGCAGTGTTAACAGCTGCCTCGCTTTGCCGCACATTCTTCCATGATCGCCTCCAAAGGAACACTGTGAATCAGAAGAGAGTCCTCTGAAGGCCTTTTCTGTCTAAAGTCATTGAAAACAATGCCTTGGAGTTACCTTTGAATAAATTCTGTTGGTTGTGTCTTCTTTGGACAGGCCAAGGTTCTTGGTTTTCAGAAATTCTTTAAAGGAAAACGGATTTGCCTCTTCAGGATCTTCAAGTTTGTCATCTGAAATAACAGAATTGCGAAGCCATACAGTCTACTGAAGATCGTTAAAAGGGAACCTTCCTACTCATCTCTTTCCAGAGCGTGGTCACATCTGAGATCGGGAATGCCACTCTCACCACTCCACGACTCGGGGGACATCAGGAAGTGAGAAAGCTGCCCGAAAGGTGGGCAATGAAACATTCTGCTTCCAAATTCAAAATTCTTCTCCTTTCCAACCCTCAGCCCTGCGGTTCCCACACTGCTGCCTACAGGAACCCCGGGGGTCCTTAAGAGGACGGATGCTGCCTCCACTCCACATGCCGAGCTCACTGGGGGAGGAGCCACAAGGCGCGGGGACCAGGTGCTCCTCAGTCCTCTCTCTGACCTTTTAACCTCATTTACCTAGCTCGGGCCCATCGTCCACTTTTCCCTTCTCTCTTCCTCCGCTTCCTTCTGACTCTCCTGGTACCCACCGGCCACACTTTGGACCTCTGGTCCACCAGTGAGCCCAGCCTCTCCCAGGTGCCCACCCCGTTGTAAGGCTGGCTCCTGCAATCCCAGCCCGACCTCCAGCTCTCCTGCCCGTGAACCCTGTTCCTTCTCCTCTAGGGCCCAGACTGCATCTTTGGGATTCTGACCCCACCTGCTCTTTTGGATATAAGGAGCCACTTATATCTAGTCAAATTGACAGCCCCACCACAGACACGTGCCTGGCATTGTGTGCTGGAGAGAAAAAGAAAGGATTATCGAACTACTCTACCTCCAAAACGTGTCTCGTGGGCTCCTGATGGACCTTGCTTAGTACACTTCCCCTTTCCATAGCCAAAATCTGCAAAGAAACATTGTCACCCCACCATGATCATGGGAGCCTTTATGACTACATTTGATTTTTCCTTTTTGGACATGGAGTCTCTACTGCACTGGCTCTCACTGCCTGGGGAACTTAAAAAAATACAAGCTCCAGGACTCCTGACTGTGGAGATGGTCTGACTTCCACTGACTGGCCCTGGTGTCTGTGATTTTAAAGCTGCTCCTGGTAAGTTCTGATGCCCAGCTGGGTATGAACACGTCCTTCTCTGTCTTGTGATACCCTCTGAATGTCCTCAGACCCTGACGTAACCACCTAAACACTTCCGCACACCCAGCAGCACAGCTGCTTGGGAAGAATGAGGATGAACAACACCTGCCGGCTGCCCGGCTGTGGACACAGATGGCTCCAGCTCAGTTTCCAATCACCACCTATTGGAAGGTTCCCTTGTCCTCATTCCCGCCCACCACCACCTAGAATAATGGGGTGGTCTCCTGTGCTCCCACTGGGCACTGAGGAGGCTGTCCTGGAACTGTCTTGCGGGGCGGTCCTCCCACAACCAGGCTGTGAGCTCCTAGGGGGCGGGGACTTCACCTCTGTACTCCCAGTGCTTGGCACACAGTGAGCGCTCAGTGCTCATTGTTGGGTCAATGGCGGAGATAACGCTACAGCAGAGGTACCTACAGGTAGTACAGGAACGGGCGCTTCCCTGAGGCCGGCGCCCTCGTCTCTCACCTGTATCTCCCACGGAAGCTAGCACCGGACTGGGCACATAGCACATAAAAGTCGGCCGAATGCCGAAGAAGTGGGAGTCCAGGTCCCTGCCATGGGGACGCTCACAGTCTAGCTGGGGGAGACAAGACCGGCGCTCATAGAACGCTGGAGCTGTAAGCAACAATAAGAGCGACTTTACCGCGAGCCGCGCCGCCCGCGCACTGTGGCAGGCCACCTACCTGCACCACGCGGACCCGGCGGCCCGCGCCGGCAGGGAGGCCCCAGGCCCCGCCGCGCCCGGGCGCCTCGCCCGCCTGCCCTCCCGGCCCTCCCGGCCCGGCTCCGCTCACCGTCGGGAATGACGAGGCTCCGGGCTCGGGACAGCGGGGTGGCGCCCGGGCGGCGCGGGTAGCCCGACATCGCCGCGGGACCGGCGGGCTGGACCTGCCTAGCCCGGCAGCGGCGGCTCCATGGCCCCGGCTCTGCCCGGGCCGCGGCCCCCTTCGCCCGTCCCCGTCGCTCGGCAGCCGCCGCTCCTCCCAGCTTCCTGCCGAGGCTTCCGGTCTGCGCACCGGAAGCGCGCGCCGAAACGCAGGGAGCCGAAGCCGAGGGACTGGAGCGCCGCCGGCGGAAACGGAAGTGACGACAGAAGCGGTGGGCGGAGACCCAAGATGGCGGCCGTGGTGCTGGCGGCGACGCGGTTGCTGCGGGGTTCGGGTTCTTGGGGCCATTCCCGGCTAAGGTGAGCCGAAGGCGAGCCAGGCCTTGGCTTGGGGCCGGGGCTGCTCGAGTCTTTCTGGAAGCTTTCTGTTTGGTTTTTGCAGGCTACATGGCGCCATGTGTCATCTCTGCCCTTTTCCTGCCGCGTGCTCTCTCCGGCAGGGCCTCGGCTCTGTTAGACCCACAGAACCGGGGGCTTTGTCTGACACCAGGGTCTCGGGCTCTCGACTGCTGCGCTGTGGCCCCTCGACTGTGGATTTCTGACGCGAGGGACTCTTTCCGTGCCCACCGCTGCTCCTGCCCAGGTGGCCAGGCCTGCTTTTCCCGCGCTGGCACCTTCGTTCAGGCAACAAATGTGTATTAATCCCTCACTGCATAACTAGCATTGTTTGAGGGTTAGGGAGGTGAACAGAAGCAGAGTTGCTGTCCTCTGGAGATGGTTACAGACAATGGCGTGAAGGAAGCGTTGGCAGTCAGTCAATGCTTTGAAGTAAATAAGCAACGTGTAGTGGAAAATAACAGGAAAGACTGGACAGACTGATAGGAGAGAGCCCCTCATCAGGGACATTTAAGCCGAGAGATGAGGAATGAACGAAGGGTTAGCTGGGACCTAATGGGCAGGGAGGGGGGATTCAAGAGATGAGTTTAGTAGAGGGGGAGGCCAGACCACCACTCAGACCCCGTTAATAAGGGGTGTGGCTTCTGCCCAGACTTCAGTGATGCTGGTTAACGGCAGAGCTGTGCTAAGGGCTTCATGTGTACAAATTGCGCTTGGAGTGAGTCACTGTCATCAGCTGTATTTTACAGAGAGGTAGTTGAGACCCAAGGAACTGAACCAACTTGGCTGAGCCTGGGTCACTCCTCCATGTTGTCTTTGAAGGTGTGTCACAATAAATCCTTTAGAACAGCAGATACTGACTGTTAATGCCGACAAAGCATAACTGCATCTGTGTGGTTACCACAGGACCCGTTCTCTCAGGTCTGTTGTAACTGGGCCAGTTTCTCTCTTTCAGGTTTGGACCCAAGGCATACAGACAGTTTAGCAGTGGTGGCACCTATCCCAACATCCCCCTCTCTTCTCCCTTACCTGGAGTACCCAAGCCTGTTTTTGCTACAGTCGACGGACAGGAAAAGTTTGAAACCAAAGTTACCACACTGGATAATGGGCTTCGTGTGGCCTCTCAAAATAAATTTGGACAATTTTGCACAGTAGGAAGTAAGTACTGTTGGTAGCGTTGCAGGTGGTCGTCTTGTTTTAACGTGTGCATGCTTTATTGACTGTCAGTTGTGATTAGTAGTCAGTTGTGAATTGTACCGAGTGGAAACATGTTAGAAAATCTGAAATATGAACAGTGGCCATTTTTGGTAATGGCATTTAGGATGGGTTGCCCCCCTACACACCATTTTGTTTTTAACCTTTCTGTAATTCTAAACGTTTTCCATCGCAAAGGTAAAATGTGTGATTTCATAAGTGTTGACATACACACATAGCTGCGAAACCATCATTACAATGGAGATGATGAATGTATCTGTCACCCTCACATAATTAAATCTGGTTATTGAGTCATATTCACAATTTTAAAAGGTTACTCTTGACTAAATCTTCTATTTGGAACATCTGCTTTAACCTGTTAATTTTCTTTTTATTGCCAGTTCTTATTAATTCAGGATCAAGATATGAAGCGAAATATCTTAGTGGAATTGCTCACTTTTTGGAAAAGTTGGCATTTTCGGTCAGTGTCTAATTCATCATTTTTGAGACTATAACTTGAGAAGGATCTTTCAAGTTTTTCTTTTTCAGAATGGTT